TGAAGTAGAAGATAAACCAATGCAGTGCAAGGATGCTCAACGACAAGAGGAACTGAGTACAATGTATAAAACACTTCACGGGACAAAGAAGTGAAGAAGAGTGCACACAAAGACAAAAGCACTTCCACGAAACACTGGGAAGTGAAGCAGAACAGGCTGCAGGTAGGAGAGATAGAGACCTGACAACATTGTATCAGATAACCAGGTTACTCTATCTGGGAAGAGACCAGCGCAGACGAAACCAATAAAAGGTGATGACGGAAATTCAATTACGAAAGAAGAGAAAGAAAGGAACCGATGGGCCGACCACTTCAAGAAGCTCTTGAATCGACCACCACCTGCACTTCGTCCACAAATACCACCTGCAGCCCAGCCACAGAACTACAAGTGAACATAAATCCTCCAACAAAAGTGGAGTCCTGAACGCCATAAAGCTACTGAAATGTGGGAAAGTAGCAGGACCAGATGGAATCCCGCCAGAAGCACTGAGAACAGATGCAGAGACAACAGCGAACATGCTCACACCACTATTGCAGAAGGTGTGGAAGGAAGAGAAGGTACCTGCCTATTGATTGGAAGAAGGGTTACATTGTCAAACTGCCGAAGAAGGGAGACCTCAGTGTTTGCAAGAACTGGCACGGAATCACTCTCCTGTCCACCCAGAGCAAGCAAAATATTAAGCCGCATCATCCCGGAGAGACTAAAGGATGCACTGGATTCAAAACTACTACCGGAACAGGCAGGTTGGCTTCAGGAAGTACTAATCATGTGCAGACCAAATTGCAACGCTTCGCATCATCATAGAACAGAGTATAGAATGGCAGTCAGCTCTCTACCTCAACTTTATCGACTTTGAGAAGGCCTTTGATAGCGTCGACCGAGAGGTAATTTGGAAACTGCTTCAATACTATGGAATACAGCAAACCTTTATCAACCTCATTCAACAACTATATGAAGACGCCATATGCCAAGTAATTCACAATGGGAAGCTCAGTGATGCCTCTGAGGTGAAGTGAAGACAGGAGTGAAACAAGGCCGTCCACTATCATCCATGATATTTCTGATTGTGGTCGACTGGACCATTCAACAAACTGTGAGGAGCGAGAAGAGGAGTATACACTGGACTGGGGAAAAGATCCTAGAAGATTTGAATTTCGCCAGTGATGACTTGTGTCTGATGTCACACAAACTTTAAGATCTACAGGCGAAACCTAACAAGTTGACAGAAGAGGCAGGGCAGGGCAGCGAGGGGAGACGGGACTTCAGTGAATATAGAGAAGACAGAGGTGATGAAGATACCCAACCAACAATGACAACAACAACAACAACAAACTTCAATCACCATGAACGGGAGAAACCCTGAGGGAAGTAACCTCCTTCACCTATCTAGGCAGCACTGTTTCAACTACAGGCAGTGGCACAGGCACAGACGAGGATGTTAAAGTCAGAATCGGAAACACAGCAAGACAGGTGTTGATTAGCCTGAAAGCAGTGTGGAGATCTTCTGCACTCAGCATAAAGCGTGAACAGGATCCGGATTTTTAACAGCAATCCAATCAAGTCAGTGCTTCTGTATGGTTCAGAGACTTGGCGTGTTACGAAAGGGATTTCCAACAAACTACAGACATTCATCAACAACTGCTTACGCTGGCTCGTTACTGAAGATCAGATTGCTAGAAAGAATGGGCAACAGGGAACTCTGGCTGTCAACGAGCCAACCAGGAGTCTATCGCTGAACAAATATGCACTGGAAGGAAGTGGAGATGGATTGGGCATACACTGAGAAGGCCGACTGGGGACATCACGCATCAGGCCCTCAAGTGGAATCTCCATGGGAAGCGACGAGTTGGGAGTCTGAGTGTGACATAGAGGAGATCGTGCTAGGAGGAAATGAGAGCTTGTAGGTTGTCGTGGTGGCAGGTTGAAAAGATTTCGGCGAACAGAGTTTACTGGAGACGTGCTACTGAAGCCCTATGTTCCATTAGGAACCCAAGGGACAAATCATAATAATGTATTGGAAGTCGCTAAGTGGAGAATAGACAAGGCCTTCAAAAGAACTTGTTATGCAGCTAAGCTAGTACTTCTGAGAGCAACCAGGCGGGTGTTTCAGCAATCAGGAACAGCGATGACTTCATTCTTCAACATATCTAACTGTATATACCACTTTGAATGTACTTATGGAAGCAAATCGATAGGTCGTACGGAAAGGTGTCTGTCTACTCACATGGTTGAGCATTTACCTAAATGGCTGAGGCAAGCTGAGTCAAAAATCCCACGGAGTTCCATTACGAAACACCTAATGGATTATCGATATGATTTTGACACCACTAAAGCCTTCTCGGTTGTCAGCAGACAGCGGAATAAGAAAATGCAATTGTGGGAGCATGTGCGATTAGAGTTCGTAAACCGAGCATATATGTACAGAAAGAGATGGTGGTCACCCTGAATCTGCTATCGTAGAGGTGTTGAAGTATTTTGAAATTTTTCATTCTTATTTATGTCTTGTTTTTTTCACTTTATTCCTTCCTATACTTCGCATATTTACCTCTTCACTATCATTCTGCTGTGCTATCATGTCCTCTTGAACTTCTTCGCTTATCAGTCAAATGACTTATCTCCATCGTTATTATCATTGTTATCGTTCAACTATCACTCTAGCCTCCTTCAGTTTCATACTTACCAAACTTCTTAATTGATCTTCACTTATCTTGTTTCAAAGTGACGTAATTTTCAATCTTTTCAGTATTCATATTCTCATTGTTATCATTATCATTACTATCACTACTACAATCGATATTTTTGTTTACCTAACACCTATGTTCTTCTAGTGTACACCTTTATCAAGCTATCTAGTTGACTACTAATTGATGTAAAATGGTTGAAAGAAACGAAGAATGCAATGGGAAATCTAAGTTTCAAGATCTGAAGAATTTGATGTAGGGGAAGACAATATTATGCTCGTTAGCAGGTGGAGGAAAAGATTTCGGGGAGAGACGAGTAGAGTCAATTATTCAGTAGGAATCTCATTGAGTATGATATAGGCAATAGAAAGAGTCACTGTATTTTACAGGCAGTTAACAGGTATATTACATAAGAAACTGAATAACAACTCATTTTCTCATAGTTTCATGGGTATGGGGAATATCCATGCCCATGGCTTTCATAAACCTTCAAAGGAAGATTTCGTCATCTTCACTGTCAATATACTAACTTTTCAAGTGAACTGCTTCCACAAGAAATTGTTCTGATAAATCAGTTTACTGGCTTGTAACTGACTGGGTTTGACATCACAATTTTCAGTTAAGGAGTCACAGGTTCAAACTTTGCTCCACCTATGTGGGCAACTATATCACAGTTATGGGTCATAGCCTGGTACACAAACTTGCGTCTAACTTGCCTGAATTCATTGTTGAAGATCACCTGATGAGTAATCGAATCATCTTTAAATTGCCGAATTATGTTTCGAATTGTCTATATAATAGTAGCAATAATAATAATTCAGTCACTGGGTTAGAGTTCATCTCAATCTCCAGTCTCTGTCAATTTGTGACATGGTGCGAATATCCGCCAAGGTCTTCATTTGATATGCGCTTCACTTCCGACTGGTTGATGCCACAGGTCATGGTTTCTCATTAGAACTTAGGGATATCTATCTATCCGTGATGAATACCACCTTGAATTAAAAAACCCGTAGACCTCAGACTGCATTACTGTGTAGTGCTTATTAGTGATATGCTTCTATATGGATAACCCAAAGTTCTACTGAGAAGCCATGATCTGTAGGAATAACCAGTCAGAGGTAAAATGGATACCAACTGAAGATCTTGGTGAGTAGTCTAGTTATATCATGAATTGACAGATTAAAGAAACTATCGACCACTGAACTCAAACCCAGAGGCTTAATGGTTAGCGCGTCGGCAACGAGACCTGAAGGTCCTGTGACCGATCCCTGGTAGGGTCGCGGGTGCGGCTGCTGAGGAGTTACATACTAGGATGAAGTCGGTACGCAGTGCTCTTAGGTTTCCAATGGTTCTCCGACTGATATCAGTCCACGATAAATACTACCTTGAAATAAAATCCCCACAAACCTCGAACTACAGTAATAGTAATAATAATATTGAAAATGTCTTAAAAAAGTCCCATGGGAACGGTAGTCACAATTAACTACTACTAGAATTCTATTCCAAATTGATTATATAAACGATTCTTATGTCAGGAAACAACCAGTAGACCAAGAGAAAGTTATAAAATTAATTCACATTATAGGGATGAGGGGATATCTACAATAGGGAATTTTAAAATTAGGTTATATGGGGTAGGGGGTTTAAAAATTTGTTAATCCCTAAGTATTTACAGCTGAGACACAGTCTGAAGAATTTGGAGTCTGGTACCCGTTTGCAAGTTGATGGGAAATCAGTAAATAATGGAAAATGACGTATGCAGTTTCACTGTATAGTTCGTTTTGAACTGAATTTCTTATTATAAAGCTGTTAATTGTCTTCATCACACACTGAGAGGTGTTCATGAGCACATAAGATTAAATCCCCAGACTATATTATATTATATTATTATATTATTAACGAACTATTGTAGGGAATCTGATTGTTGTTAACTCAGAATTAGACAGTATAGGCATATGACTGTAGAACATGAAGTCGAAGTTATTTAAAGATAATACGTTGTTCATTTAAATGTCAGTTATTATATCCCTTTTTATGGGAATAAACTGTCATTTAGGTATTGTCCTCCAATTAGACATTTCTAACTTGGAGTTATCACCATTGAATAACATTGAAAGATATACACTTTCAATTCTCAACCGAATGAACTACACATACTGAATGTGATGAATGACTGAACAGTCATAAGGTAAAGAAAGAAACATAGCTGTCTAGTATTGATTAGTGTTTATTAGTTCTATGCATCTGATGTCAATCTGAAATGAACAGTCTTCAAATTCATGCGATGATTACCTACTCAAATTATTTTTTGTATTACAGTATAAGAACTGATATGATTAAACTTCAGGAACAAGTGATTAGTTTACGGGATCTTGCAAAAAATCATGAACGTACAATTGCACAAAAGAATAAGGTTATTAGTGATTTAACTGATGAAATAAAAAGAATGAAACATACTATGCAACTCAATTTAAAGGTAGAGAATACTAAAAGAAAAGTAGGTTCTTCTATTTCATTGTATACACTGAATTCTTGCGTAATTTCATTTTATTATTATTTTATTTTTGTCAAATTTTTCAGCATTTTTAAGAGATCCTCTTCTGCCTTTAGCAGTCAGTAGACTTAAAACTGTGTTTCGTCTTTGATACGGGTAATGAGTTCATTTGCATGGTTTTTTGAGGTATAAATATGTTTAGGTTGCACTAATTGTCTCTTGCATCTAGTCACCGCCCCATACTGATAGAAGTCTACTGCTTGAAGCCTAACCAGGCTGTAATAGACTCAGGGTAGCAGAAATACTGAAATAAGAAGTCATTGACCATTAATTCAAATCAAAAGTTAGATCTTACTGAGATTCTTCATATGTTAGAGATACAGCCCAAAAGAGAACATAACAGCACTGGTTCATTCATTTGTTTTCCTAATCGACCAGAGATTGTTGGGCATATTATCACTTTAAATTTGTTTATTATCCATCCATTCACACATTCTTACGATAGGATATTTCTACTTATGTTGACTTTTGCATTCTGTATAGCTATGAATTGCTGCAACTAAGACAAATAAACTCTGTTATACGTTTTACTTCGTTGCGTTCATCTGTCTAAATGATAAATTCCAGTTTCTTGGATCTTTTTAAGTATCAATCTGCTGGATCTACTCAGTTGGAAGCCCTGCTTTACATAGGTTTCAAACCTAATGGCATTCATCAACAATGCGCACCTGCAATCTCAAAGGAACTGATGTCCCCTAATAGTTCTGAACCCGCATCACTCAATCCTAAAGTCAAAGACGTTACCGCCCACCCGTTCGGAAGATGTCTGACCTCCTGTGGGACTGGACTAGATACAGTAATTAGCCACTGGAGAATGACCAATTACGTGTTGTTTAGTCCTAAATTCTGACTGGATTGTATCCATCCCTTTGACTGTTACATTATGATTTAGATGAGTGACAATCTTTCAGTAAATAGCTAGTTAAACAAGGACTATAGTTTTAGTTGTATTTTTGTATGTTTAAATTCATATAAAGTCTTTTTAGCTTCTACTAATACTTAAAATAGATTTGAATTTAATTATTTTTATGAAAACATTTGATTTTTCATTTTTTGTTTCTCTTTGCTGTGAAAGGTAGATATTGAGATACTAGCAACGTGATTTCTTGAACTACTTGCGTATCGGTTCTAGCTCACTAAGTTTTGCCTCAGTGAATGGAGGAGAAAAATCAACAAGATGATTATTATCGAAATAAAAATTAAAAAAACCATTCAAAGTTAAAGATGACTGAAGAGCACTATTAATCACGAAACGATTAAATACTTACTATACACTAGATTTTGATGTTTATTAAAAGTCACCATATTCATTTTCTAAACCTTATATTACCAGTTTCATTAAATGCAATTCGATGGATTTCTCAGCATTATCAATCTGCTTTTCAGTAACCAAACTTATTTTAGCAATTACATCACCATTAATGAAATATACTACTGAACAACCTGAGTAGTTAGAAATATACTCAGACTGATCTGCAGATTTCATCAACTAGATGAAAGTGATCCAAGCACCCGACGGCTATCTCACTCGTTTGGTGTCACATTCATCAACGGTGTACTCAGACAAATCCAGCTTATAAAGCGGAATTGTTCAAACCACCTGAAACTAGCCAGTTGACTTGTATGAACAGGTATACCTTAACTAGAATGGTCAATTTGCAAATGACTTACAAACTTCATGGCCCAGTTTGACATCTCTCTTCGTAACTAATATATCATCCAGTAACCAGGGTTATTCACTGGGTACAATTATTTTTTGGGAGATTTTGACTATTAGTGGTTTCTGTAAAAAAAAATATAATGATTTATGCCTAATAATAAATATTTAAAAAAAATCCTTGAGGTTCTACACATTTTCACATATCTCTGATCAAACTCAAGAATAAATTCGTGAAAGAATTTTTTTTTTTTTTTTTTTTTTTTTTTTTTTTTTTTTTTTTTTTTTTTTTTTTTTTTTTTTTTTTTTTTTTTTTTTTTTTTTTTTTTTTTTTTTTTTTTTTTTTTTTTTTTTTTTTTTTTTTTTTTTTTTTTTTTTTTTTTTTTTTTTTTTTTTTTTTTTTTTTTTTTTTTTTTTTTTTTTTTTTTTTTTTTTTTTTTTTTTTTTTTTTTTTTTTTTTTTTTTTTTTTTTTTTTTTTTTTTTTTTTTTTTTTTTTTTTTTTTTTTTTTTTTTTTTTTTTTTTTTTTTTTTTTTTTTTTTTTTTTTTTTTTTTTTTTTTTTTTTTTTTTTTTTTTTTTTTTTTTTTTTTTTTTTTTTTTTTTTTTTTTTTTTTTTTTTTTTTTTTTTTTTTTTTTTTTTTTTTTTTTTTTTTTTTTTTTTTTTTTTTTTTTTTTTTTTTTTTTTTTTTTTTTGCGCGATGCTGGAGTTAGAAATCTATCTGCTTACATGACACTCTACACTGTGAGTTAGAGTTGATTTCGAATTCATTAATTGCATGGGATATCCTCACAATTTTATTTAAAAAGACATATGAATAGACCGATGAAAAGACCTGAAGTAGTAACCATTTGAAAGAAACCACTGTTCATACAGCTACAATTTAGTGATGATGTACTTAGTGAGATTCTATTCCACAGACTGTCGAGAATCATTACAAGGAAATTGTTGGGCAGCTAATCTCTGCCTATCGTTTTCTAGTCAATTTGTTTCGTATCAAACGAAGGGCAAGTTACTTAGTTTCGCCACCTCAATGTATGTTTGCCAGTTTAATTGCTCCTGTGGAGACAGTTATATCAGGTGTACAGCCAGGCAACCTGCTCAACATATTACCGAACACCTACCTTCATGGTTGGGTAAAGGATACGTTAAATCTATATGAAGCTCTGTTTTGTCGCATCTAATTCATACCGATCACAGAGTGGATAAGATGAAAGCGTTTCGAGCGACGGAGTTCAACTCAGCCTTTTACATATAGCTGAAGCTGTAGGAATTCGAATGAACAATCTAAGGCTCTGTATTCAGAAGAAATTTGTAGAGCCTTCATTCCCGCTTTGGCCAGGGAGAACCTAATTAATGACCTTACTTATGAATTTGAAAATGTATTTCTTCCCCCTTTTTATTTTTATTTCATTTTGTCACCCTTTTCACCCCGCTACTATATTCATATTCAAAATTTATTTATTCACTCTCCCCTTCATCCTCCACTATCATCACACAACCTTATCGTCTTTCTTCACTCTGGTCTATTTTGTCTGTCTATCCGTCTAGTCGGGCATTTCGACCCTGTATAGCAACGGAAAATTGCAAATATCATTACAACAACTGACACCCGTTGCACAAGAGGTGGCTATTGTGCCCTAGTGGATAACGCTCTTGCACTTGGAGCAAAGAGTACTGAGTTCGAGACTCAGCAGGAGCAATATCACTCAGTGGGGTGCAGGTAGATCCAACTTACGAGTCCCAAATAAAACGAAATGCGCTTCCTGGATTCCTCTGCTAGTCACCGAGATCAATATAAAATCATGAATGATAAATAGTATCGAGGCCTCTGCATAGGAGCCCATCTGCCAAAAGAGGTCGAGCAATTCGGCCCTGTATAGCAACGAGAAATTACTAGTATCATTACAATGTCTGAACACCTGTTTACATTGTCGTGTCATTCTGAACATTCGTATTAACCTTTTTACAATCCGTATTCCTTGGTGTCGTTATCTTACAAATTACCTTGACTGGTTGATATTTTACAAATATGTTGAGACAATCAGTCCCTTTTATGAATTTGGATAATGTAATTACAAGATAAAGATTATCTGAAAAATGTGATGTATTTGCGCCATACATTTCGAACAATCTAATCACATATTCACTTTTTAAGTCATTATATATATGAAAACTGGAAGTGAGGGAAGGACAAATATGACATAAAAGAATTCAATACAATTCATCAAAGAAACTAATTGTTTCAAATTCTTGAAAAGAAGGCTCCCGCCACACACCATTAAAAGGTTAAATGAACTTGTTAGCCTCAGGTGTAAAACGGCATCTGAAAAGGTGAAGTTGGAGTTTTACAAATCTTGTATTTCAAGCCACACTTTTCCAAGACGTTTTTATAAAACCTTGTGTTTAACAAAATATGTTGAGATCTAATTGAAAACAATACTGTTCGCTTATATGTCTTTTTATAATATTCATAATGAGAATTTTTAACAGTTAGAAATGTTACAATTGAACCAGACTGCAACAGTAGGTAGTGCATGTTCAAATCTTTCATGGGATATCAATTCCCCTTGGATTGCAAACAAGCTTTGTCAGCAAGTATTTTTTTTAGCACTTAACAAGCTGTGATTGCTATCACTTCTATAATGATGGATGATATCGACTAGCTTTTCAACGAAAAGGTTTCTGACCAAGAAATTTCAAATAATCTGTCTTGATAAATAAATTCTGTACAACTTCTGTAATGCTTCACCCCCCCCTTTTATTCTAAGGATTTTTGTACTGCACTTGCTGATCGTTACTACAAACAGCATATTTTAAAACAAGCAATAGTAGAATGGAAACAGTTTATGGAGTGTACATGGAAACAGAGGAATTTTCGACGATTGACGCTAGAAGCCCAATCTGAATGTATCAAAATTACGAAAGAGTTTAATCAAAAAATCCTTCAGGTAAACAATTATAATTTGCATATTTCTTCTCATCTTCATCAGTCATATATTAATTTTATTTTGATAATGAAAAAAAAAGTTGGTCTTCATAGATAACATTAAATGTTTTGACAACCTAATAGCACTGGTTTTCAGGAACTTGTCTCGACTGGTTGTCTATAAGCGTTGCTAATTGAAGAAGGCATATATTTTCTTGGTAATTGTTACATTTAAGGTAGTTTTTCTTCTGTCACGTTTCCCTACGTCCTTGTTATCTGCGTAATTTGTGCTAATTAGTGGCCTTAATATTATAGACTTTCCGCTTGTGTTTTAAACAAAACTCTTTTTGTGGGCTAATCTATCATTCCTTGCTTGAAATTTCATTAACATTGAATATCGAAACGTTAAATTAACCCCTCTACTATCTCTCCACTTGTCGTTTTCTGAGTATTACATAACAGAATGATTCTTCATATGTATTTACATTATATTATCATATACATATGGCTTGTACATACTTTTGTTACTAATCAGTGTAACCAGAGCATGATTTCAGTGACAGAAATTAATAAATGCACCATGATAGAGGATTCAATCAAGAGTAAACTGAATTGATGATAACAATCTTTAGATTGTGTTTACCTTAGGGATTTCCATAGAATCAGTTAGTGTGGAAGTAGTCTTCACTAAGAAGTGGCATCATATGGCAAACCACTGAAAATTACTAGCATTTGTCAAATTTGAACTTGTAGTTAAAAGTCATGACTACTTATTGATTCACCAAAACAATGAGTTGGAACAAACACCGTCGTTTGACACGAAATATTTGAATCACTAGATTCCAGCTATGTCTCACGACGTAAAGCTTCTGTTTTCAGCTCTCTGAATTTCATTTGTTGTTGTTGTTGTTGTTGCTTAAAACCAGCTTCATACACCTCAACAGACAAGCTAAGCAACCAGATACACAAATAGATGATATCAATAGTCACTTGATTTTGGAAAAATACTAATCTTACGTCTGTGAAGATCACTTTTTTTATACTACCAAAAATTTCCTGAAACTTAGCACACAGCTACCGTTGTGAGTTGCAAGTGACCATTTTTATTTTAGTAAAAAAGATTAGCCATACGACAAAATAGTGACATATTGTTGCATAGTACTATTTTGTAAGGCTTGTTTACAGAAAAACTCCTGTTGTACAACTTATAAGTCAGTGTTTCTAATAGAGATTATTCAGTTGAAAACATCCTTCGATATTCCTTGTAATTCGTTGAAAGTTGCAGTGATTTACTTAGTTCGCATCCCTCTTAACCTTGTCGCTTTACTACAAGAAATTTGGTCAGTCTAATTACACTACTCATAAGTAGTAAAAGTAGTACTTCAAGTACGTTAAACTATTTGAAGGTTTAAAGCAACTGGTCCCTTTGATAAATTTAAACAGCGTAATGAGAACACGAAGATTATCTGAAACATGTGATGTATTAGCGCTATACATTTCGAACAATCTAATCGGATGTCACGTACATGCATCTTCCGTATTGTCACATATTTTATAGGCACACTGGTTTACTTAGTACCAGAAAAGATTCAATCTATCGATCAGGTTCCTAGTTCATTTTCGTTTTCTGTTTTTCGTTTCAATAAAAAGCATAACCTTTCGATTTGGATAAGGTTTCCTCTCTAATTTGGTCTTTTTTCCAGTACCACTTGACTTTGTTAGCCTAAGAAACAGATAGGTTACTAGTATAGCTATTCATTATCAACTTTTCGAAGGCTACATTCAAATGGAGAAGAGCAGCTATATGTAGAACTGTGGTTATAAGAAGTTGTAGACCCAAAACTTCTAGAGCTTGATTCAGTAATCACTTCCTTTAGTTCATTTTTTTCAGCAAGTCTGCTCAACTGACTTATTTTGATTACAATCCTAACTTTCCTCTATCTGGAACTTCTATGGTTGACTGGTGATGGGTTTTTTCTTTGCAACCACTAATCAATAGGAATGAAAAGGTTGATAACCACCATTTGACAACTTAAGAGTTTCCACATTTCATGAACTGAATTCGTTACTACAGTTATTCTTTTAAAAGCATGAAATTCTACGAAAAGGATTCTTTTCAACGAATTAACTCTGAAGCTGTACATTCTTGTATGTATATGACATTTAATGAATGGAATCTATAAGGGAATTTAAATAATCGGAGACTGAAAACACAAAATAATGATGGTTACAGTTATAATAATGTTGCTAGTTGATGATGTGGGTGTTAAATGATAACAAACTGACGTTACGCAAGATTTTTAGATTGTTCAGAGGGTGAATTTGGATTACAAAGGAGTGAAAACATTGTAGACGTAATCAATAAACAATGGATTAAGTGATGTGAATGAGACAGGTTGATTTAGATCTATTGAAAGCGGTTTTGTTAAAAGTTGCAGCTATTTGGAAGTCTGAATGAAGTAATACGGGAAATCATAAAACACAAAATTAATAATGATGCTGATGATTGAATATGCAAAATGTTTTAGATACAATATTATGGCATACCAGAAAGAACCCCCTATTTATAACTAAAATGGAGCGCTCAACAAAGTTTAACAGAATGATTGCTGGGATTTAGCATATACAGTGGTAAAATGCATCAAAGCATTTCCCACTTCTTGGTCTATCGAAAACAATGATAATACTGTAAAAGAAAAGACTAATTGTCGGAGATGAGGATGTTTAAAAGTCAACTGGGATATTTAATCTAGCAATGGTGGAAAGGAAATAAAGAAGGCATAAATACAACTTTGCAACCCTGTGAACATGCATGCAATACGTGATGAGCTAAAACTGTTGTATGAAGCCTAATGACTGCGCAGACCTCTGTAAGTGGAGTATGGTTGGAAACTGGGGTCTACTGGATCAAAGTAGAATGCTTTGACCAATGAATTACAGCTCTAAGATAGCAGAGCTCATGTTAATATCTTAACAATATTTTTGGTCATCAGAGCAAGCTATATCAGCACGTGTAGTGAAATGTTTCAGGCTACTTCTCTTAGGAGGTTTTATGAGCGCTTCTGTCTGTTTCCCAGATATCCCCTCACAAACACCATAATCACTTCGCTTGACTAAAAATACCTACGAACGCATCATTTTATAATTAGGTATCTCAAGGGTGGATTTTATAGGATTTACAAATCTACTGAGAGATTGTATAGTCCTGCCATTTACATATATATATCCTAATTGTAATTTTCGGGTATATCTTAACTTACATAACTTGTAGGAATATCAGCGGCTTCCTAACAAGGATATACCATCCAACAGAAACTATGATTCATCTTACCGAAATGAAATAAACCCTATCACTTGTAAGAATGGGAAAATTGATCAAAGACTGTATGATGGCAAATGTCATTTATCCGTGGGAAATGCCAAAAAGATGTTAAGTTCACGGAATTCATCAAATCATTATTATCCCATAGAAAAACAGAAAAAAATATCATCGTATACTAAACCACGAACTGTACAACATGGAATACCCACAGGAACCTGTCCAAATGGATCTACAGCTATGGCAAATATATTAGTCCATCGACATCAACCTATCAGTCAGGTGAATTCATACAGATGTTTGGTATTTTTGACTACTAAAATTGGAGCATGAAATAAGTCAGTGACATTTTAGAAAAGAGTCATCAAGAAAGCATTATATTGTTCAATAATAATTTACTTTTCATTTCAGTATTAAAATACACACTAAGAAGTCGGTTGATTGATAGAAGTAATGCTCTACATTAAATTTATAAGTTTTTATCATAGAGTAATAATACAAATGTTAACCAACTTTGACATTGGATATGTTATATTTGGACAAATCTCAGCGTTGATATTCATCATGAACTGAAAGCAGTTGGAGAAACAATGAAAGCCTGCGGGGATTAGACATCTGTTTCATCCCAGTATGGGGCTCTTCAGCATTGTGCACCTAAGACCCTAACAGGAGTCGAACCCAGCACTTCTGGGTTCTGTAGCCGACACGTTACCACTTAGCCACTGGGTCGGAATCCAGTGATCCGTATTTCTTACTTCTGTCAGTTCACAAACTTCAAAACTCAATTAATCTAATGCTCATTGATGACTGGCTTCGAGAGATATCCCTGAAGTTGCAGTGAGGAGTCGTGGCCAAGTCAAACATGAAGACAGTTACCCAGAAACCAAATTGAATAGAGGCCATGTTATTTCGTGAACTAACAGAATTAAGAAATATGGATCACTAGATTCCGAACCAGGGGCTTGATGGCAACGTGATGGTCACGGAACTTGAAGGTTCTGGGTTCGATCCCAGGTGGAGTTGTCTGTGTGCAATGCTAAGGAGTCCGGCACCACAACAAAGCAGCTCTACGGTACCTTCAGGTTCCTATTTTTCCTCTAACTGATATCATCCCATGATAAATACCAACCGGAAACTTCCTCTTTAAGTTATTTCGATTACTATTGAGATTTTGTCGCTTAGTAACAGAAATATATCTATCCAAAAAAATAGTGAGCTAGCGTTATTTATTATATGATGTTTCAGTAATTATTGAACCAAGTGATTTAATTTTTGGCCGCTTCAGCTGCCTACTACAGACCGAGGGGACTGTGTAACAGTTGCCTTTGAAGCATTAGTCTTGTGTCGTTAAACCGCCATGTTATTAATTTTATGCTTGGGTAAACTAGTAAATATGTCATTCACCTTCTTATTGATTGAAGTGAATAGAATATGGGTTACGTAAACCTCGATAATATTTATTACGATGTGCAATTTTGGCTAAAGTGGGTTTAATCTGGCAAAAAGTTGAGAGCCGTCCAACTAAAACATTGTTATGAGAAGTCTCTAACTGTTGTTTCGATCCATGTAAAGTGCTAGAGGATTTCACACTAGAATCCATGAGGTACAGAAATATTCAAGCCTTATTTATCTTCATCATATCCTTGATATCAAAGTTCTTTTTTTGCTCTACCCCACCCTCTTTCTATCCTATAGCTTTCGACTATCTTTCGTCTTTTTACTTCTCATCTTGTTGTAGTGATATGCGGTTGGGCAACTTGGATAGTCCCGTAGTAACGTCACGTACTATGTCAAGCTAAAATTTGTAGTGGATAACGACTTCTGGGTACACAATTTAGAGGGACATCCAGTAGGTCGTAACTTCCTATTTCTAGGAAATATTTGAGAATGTGAAAAAATGTTTCTAGTGTTTTCATGAGTTGTTCTCTACAACAGATGCGCATTATGTAACAAACCAATAGAAATTGTCAGTAAGAGACGTGTATGATAATTTCTTTCTGATTTGTTGCAAAATGATGACTGATGAAATAAGAAATAGCCATTCTCTTTATTCAGAGATTATTTAAATCATTAGAATAGTTATCAGTTTCAGGAACTCTATCGTCATCGTACGGTAAAATAAATTAATGGTCACCTGTCTTTACTCCGAACTTGGTTGACGAGATAGATCACGATTTTCCATCAGAACTGCAAGAAACTCATCTGAAAGCAAGTTATTAATATGCACTGGATTGTAATTCAATCAGAGATTTTATGAGAGGTTTGATTAACTTGAGAATAGTTAAGGCTATGGAATGATATCAGGTGATAAACCATCAAATGATTGTCATATTATATCAGGAATTGACAGTGGTTTGCAAAAAGGCAAACCATTTCATTTTAGAAAAAGAATGATTGAGAGAAAAAAAACATTCCTTTTCAATTAGGTCTTTGTCTTGGTCTCTACACTAATACATAGTTTTACAATCCAACTGAAATATCAACCAAATTCCTTCAATGGAGACAATAGACTTCATTTGAAACGAACTTGCTAAACACGATATGGAACTAGGTATTCCAGTCTCCACTCTGAAAGACCTACTGCTGAAGTGTACGATGAACATACAACTTCTTTTCAATAACAAACTCTACAGGCTGTCTGATAGTGCTTCTATGACGTCACTCCTTGGCCTCTTTAAGCACGCCTTTTTCTGGTAAAACTAGAGAACGGTCAGCTGAACGAAACTATTAGTCGGTTAGAATAATATTGTCGTCATATGGATGATACCTTTATAGTTCTCAAAAGTGAGATTGATAAGAATGAGTATCTCAATAAGGTCAACAATGTTCATACGGCAATCAACTTCACAGTAGAAGAAGAGCAAAATCACAGTATCCCATTTCTTGATGTTCTGCTGATAAGAAGGTTAGCTGGAACTCTGAAACAAAGTGTATCTAGGAAGCCAACATCGACAGGTCAATAAACGCATTTATTTAGTGCCGTAATCCCCCATTACAAAAAGAACCTGATGAAATGTCTAGCATACGGTGCCACAGCTATTTGCTCAGTTGATGCTATAGACGAAGAGTTCGCCACTATCTGTGAATGGCTATCCAGCGAAGGTTGTAACTTAGCATATGAATGTCACAGAGGTTAGGGAAAGAACGCCACCAGAAGCAAATCTTGAAACTGAAGTTTAGGAGTGACATTGCCGGTGAGATCATCACACAACGCTTAAAAAGAGCGGAGAGCGAAAAGCACTCACAGTCGCTAAATTATGTCCCATCTTCTACAACCGCCCGATTCTAGGTGCAAAAAATAAAGAAAAACTGCCTGATTCTGCCACTTCTATACGCATTTATCATTTGAACTGCTCCTGTGGAGCTAGTTGCTTTAGGCGTACAATGAAGTATGTCCATCATCTAATTTTTGAGCACCACTCATCATAGTTGAGCAAGGGACAAATTAGAACAATAAAAAGCTCCATACTTGCACACCTAGTTGACACTGAATATCAGGTGGATACTAGAAAGGCATTCAAAACTCTTCATCACATACCAACTAATTTACCACGTGGATTATGCAGTCGATTACTTGACATAGCAGAGGCGACTGCAACTCATCTTTACAAACCTAACCTTTGTATTCAAAAAACGTTTGTCCGACTACTTTCATTACCATGGCTGTCAACATGATGTAACTTTTAGTATTACTTTGTACACCTCTCCCCCCTCTTGTTTCTATCAATATTCATTTGTTTTCTTATTATTACGTAGTTATTTATTGTTTAAGACTGAGCACTCGTTATAAACCACTCCATTTACCTAAGAATAACCTGCTTCATATTACCGATTTGAATTACTCTACTGATTATTTGCATCTTATTCCTAAACCTCATCATCCTCATGATTTTTTTTTTTTTTTTAATTACTGTTCACCATCTGTGAAGTGCTCACAGATTTTCAATGGTTCTCTAGCTCATATCAGTCCACATTAGAAACTACTCTGAAATAAATCGAACTGTGTAAAGCCACTAAGGAAATCAGTAGTAATATGTTGTACTTTGTCACTGGTTTATTGCAAAGTGGTTAGTTTTTTTCGATGATGAACATAAGCCTAGCTGCTGGGTTTAAGTTTTAATAAACAAATTGCTCATTGAATTCAATTCAACAAAAACTACTATGATAATATGCAATAATTCATGTAACATAGTAGCTTGATTGTAAATGCAGTGCATCATTTCATATATATAATTTTTTAGAACGCCACTTGCGAACTAGAATGTGGCAGTCAACAATACACATACTCCACCCACTCTGACGTACAAACAATGACAACTTATCTAATTATACAGATATACTTACTGGATATTAATATCTTTCATGTATACTGAGGGGTGTACAAAGCGACATGGATTTCACCAGACACCAGGACACACACACTAAAAATCAGATCGACTTCATCTAAATCTCAAGAAAATGGAGACGCAGTCTACTTGACACAGGGTCAAGAAGAGGAGCAGATGTAGGTTCACACCACTCACCATCTAGTGCAAAGAACCTTCCAAATCAAGTTAAAAGCCTACAAGGAAGCTGGTGATAGACCTCAATTCAAGTACAACACCCGGAAACTGAAGGATGAAACTACAAAGGAGATCTTCACGGCAGCCAGCCATCAAGACAAAATGGGAGATATCGAGGAACATCCGTGAAGAAACCTGTGTGGAAGAACACTGGGAGTCTTTGAGAGAGATGTGGAAAGAAACCTGCACAGCGGTATTAGGAAGGAAGAAGAAAGAAGATAAGGAATGGATCTCGATGGATACCTGGAAGCTGATAGAGCAGGGAGAGGAGGATGGTGAAGTAGAAGATAAACCAATGCAGTGCAAGGATGCTCAACGACAAGAGGAACTGAGTACAATGTATAAAACACTTCACGGGACAAAGAAGTGAAGAAGAGTGCACACAAAGACAAAAAGCACTTCCACGAAACACTGGGAAGTGAAGCAGAACAGGCTGCAGGTAGGAGAGATAGAGACCTGACAACATTGTATCAGATAACCAGGTTACTCTATCTGGGAAGAGACCAGCGCAGACGAAACCAATAAAAGGTGATGACGGAAATTCAATTACGAAAGAAGAGAAAGAAAGGAACCGATGGGCCGACCACTTCAAGAAGCTCTTGAATCGACCACCACCTGCACTTCGTCCACAAATACCACCTGCAGCCCAGCCACAGAACTACAAGTGAACATAAATCCTCCAACAAAAGTGGGAGTTCTGAACGCCATAAAGCCACTGAAATGTGAGAAAGCAGCAGGACCAGATGGAATCCCGCCAGAAGCACTGAGAGCAGACGCAGAGACAACAGCGGACATGCTCACACCACTATTGCAGAAGGTGTGGAAGGAAGAGAAGGTACCTGCCTATTGATTGGAAGAAGGGTTACATTGTCAAACTGCCGAAGAAGGGAGACCTCAGTGTTTGCAAGAACTGGCACGGAATCACTCTCCTGTCCACCCAGAGCAAGAAAATATTAAGCCGCATCATCCTGGAGAGGCTTAAGGATGCGTTGGATTCAAAACTACTACCGGAACAGGCAGGTTGGCTTCAGGAAGTACAAATCATGTGCGGACGAAATTGCAACGCTACACTACGCATCATCATAGATCAGAGCATAGAATGGCAGTCAACTCTCTACCTCAACTTTATCGACTTTGAGAAGGCCTTTGATAGCGTCGACCGAGAGGTAATTTGGAAACTGCTTCAATACTATGAAATACAGCAAACCTTTATCAACCTCATTCAACAACTATATGAAGATGCCACATGCCAAGTAATTCACAATGGGAAGCACAGTGACGCCTTCGAAGTGAAGACAGGAGTAAAACAACTCAGATGGTTCAAAATACGTAAACCATTTGTCATAAAAGTCCTTTTCCTATTGGATTCTAAAAAATTTGTATGTCTGCACATGATTATTGCATTAATCTACAAAGATGTGATTCTTTTAATCACAGTATACATCATCTATACAGAAACAACACAGGACCTGGCGAAACTGTCTAACTACCTAAGCTAGTACACAGTACAACTGGAAATTTACGTAATGTCGTCAAGTCAAATTACAAAGAAATAGAAATAAAGATGTTCATGGACGTCAAAAACCATAAATTAGGAAAGGAACTCGAAATATATGATGGAAATATGAAAATGTAGATGAATGAGATGGTTGTATCATATATGCCACCTCCGTCAATTGTTTCCTGCATAAACAAAAGTCTCTAACCATCTAATTTAGTTGTAGTGTGAACCCAAGACCCTGCTTTGCTCTAAATGCCTTAAACCAGCTGTCTGAAACCTTTTAGATTGATGATATATTTCAATTTTGTCAGTCTTCGCTTTTTACCAACTAAAGAGAAACATTTGAAGGTATACTGTTGGTCACTATATATAAGACTTCCCCCAGTGTAGTGGACCCAAAGAATGTCAAGTAAACCAAAATGTCAAACTACGTATAATTTACAAGAAAAATGGATCTTATGATACAGATGCATAAAAAGTTAAACATTATAGCACAAATAGTATTGTCAATGAAGGTTATCTCTTCAGTTTTGTCCACCACAATTTTTGGATACTCCAGAAATCAGAAGGCAATATTTATTGGCTCTCCGCAGTGGTCGTTGGTCGGCTTGATTGTCGTAATATTTGGAAGTAGGATGAGAGGTCCTGTAAAAATCCCAAGACAATCAGTTAGTATGCACGACAGGCAATAGTCACGGAGTCAGAAGCCGGAATGGTTAGAAGCACATTATATTTTCACGATTACCAGCAGCAAAAGATGTAATTACCGCCACAACCAAAAAAGTGTGGATGATATAAACAACATTCGTTTTTACAATCATTAGGAAGAATGTACAGAATGTGTAAAAAAACGATGGAAAGAAAATATTGCTTTTAGTTAAAGTGGTTTATACACAATTTTATGCAGCCTCCACACCAGTCACCTCATACTGTCAAGGTTTACAACCTCATAAACTGATTTGCCTTCTTTACCTAGCTCTCTGTGTCTAACGTTTGTTTTGGCAACATGGTAGTTTCATTACAAACAACTGACTAAATAACTGAAACCTTTCTAAATTTCCCAATTGCAATGAACACGTTCTACAGTCATATTAGTAGACCACGGTGCAGTTCACTCAATTCTTTATAAATTTTGCTATATTACTCTGGCTTTTCAGAAACTGCGTCAGATGATAATCCTTCAGGTTGATGTGAATTTCTGGCCTTGTGAAGATGATTACTGACCCACACTTCGCTCCCACCTATCGTGTGAAATGCTGGTGTAAATTATCTAGCACACACGGATGCGGAACATGATAAGAAAAGTGAAATTAGTTGGTGGGAGACAATTGGTATGAAGTATTGAACCTAGGTCTCATGCTCCTTGGCACGATTTAATAATGTGTATCTGCAACCTCAAAGGAACTGATACCCTGTTTGAGACTCGAACCTACGTCACCCAGTGCTGTAGTCAGAGACGTTACCATTGAACTATTCAAACAGCCACTGACCTCCTGTAGAACTGGGTTAGGTACATCGATTGTTTGGTACTTATGTTATGATCAGGCCTCGTAGTTTAGTTAGTGGGACAAAATATCAGTCGTTTCAGTTATACTTTTTTGAACTTAGTTGATTTATCGTAACTTTTATGAGTTTATCACATTACAATCTACTAAATGACTATTTACAATTCCACCGAATTCTTCACCAAATTTCAGGTAACAACATCAGAAAATGTCAATTCACACAGGTTTTCTTCTACATTGACGACAACAGGTGCTAATTACTCACTTGGACGACATCAGCTTTCATCAACACCACGATTATGTTTTGATTTATATCCTCAAAAAAAGTATCTAGGCAACTGATGTAGCATTTTAATTTGTCAGTATTTATTATTATTTTTAACTAATGAATATTTCTTACTGACCAATATTTTCATACAGCTTTGAAACTGTTTCCATACATGATTAGATTAAATGTGTCAATGATTGGCCTGTAAATTCACTTTGTTTCCTTATTTAAAATGTACAAATACTCACAGACACTTATCCAACTTTTTTTTATCCGTCGAGTTTAAGTTTAATGTAGTTGAGTTTGTTGTTTCTTTAACTACAGATAGATGGAACAGTCTGCAAAGACAGGGTAATCGGATGAGTCATTAAAACAAAAGTAATTCTTTTCAGTGCGATTCATTGTAATATGTAAATCTTTTTACCCAAGGAATACGTTTGGTTGATGTGAATCTGAAAAGCTTTGATTCCTAATTGATATCGTCTGGCTTAAATGGTGAAACTATAGTTTTTGAGTTTTTAAGCCATTCTCAAGTGACCTTGAACGCACCAATAAGAATGCAGATGTTTATTCGATGAAAAGGATAAGGAATTACAATGGATGTTGTTGTTTGACGTGATGTAAAGTGGAAATAGGTACAATAAAGAAATTCGGTCCGTGACTCTAAGGAGATTAATCTATGCAAGCTGTAATATTGGTGCATATAAGCCTTCAAACGACTTCATATTGCTTCTGCATAACAAGTATGAAATCTTATCAAAGGACCTATGAAGTGCTGCTTATAGACAACAATGTGGCGATCATATCCCAACCTTCTCAGACATCGATATGCTCTGTAGTCATTGGTGTAAACAACAGTTACCGGAAAAAAAATGTATTTCTTAATAAATGGAACTAATGCCATAATCTTGCGATTGTTTGCTTTCTGAGGTTGTCCTATTCCAGATTCCAAAAGCCTGCATGCACAAAAGAAGTAAACAACCTACCCATTTTTTCTTTACGTTTCTGTCACGAATGTATATCCTTTTCCTTATCATTGTTTCATCTATCTCGGCTACTTCACCCTGCCCACCGAAGACCATAGCCATTTTGCACAGTTTGAGTACAGATACCTCAACACTGCTGATACTACTGTAGGGTTCTGTGTTACTATTCATCCATCCATCCAAAACAACCCAGGACCAGGCATTACTGCGTAACGGTTCGAGTTGCCACACCTCATATCAGTACATCAAGCAAAAAGGCAGTGAAGTAGAAGCTGAAGAGAAGAAAACTCAGTCAAAAGAAATGTAAAGTACGAAAAGAGAGAAAGGAAGAATGGGAAAATGGTGAGATTCGGTATAGCGTCGTTAAGATGAGGATAATGTGTGTATACATCTCCGCCACTGACATCGGTTCTGAGCCATATCACCTAGGGTCTCCAACCACTGGTTACTCTTGTCCCACGGACCCCAACCACCTAGTCTGTATTGCCCCACATGGCTCAAACCAACAGTCAAAGACTTCATACATTGATGCCATGTTTTATTCTGGCCACCTCGGGCCTTTTTCCAGTCTTGATCTACTTCGGCCAACATTGTGTGACGAGGCAATCGGCGACTAGGCATACGTAGTATAAGTCCCAACCATTTCAGTCGATGAAGGTTCACAACCTAGTCAACCGACTTACCTCTTCTCCCCAAAACTCTATACCTGACTTCTGCATTACTCACGTGGTGACACCACGGAATACGACCTATAATTCGAAGGCGAGGGTGGTCAATCACCTGCAGCCGGCCTTCTCATGTCTTCCACCTTCAATGGCCACGTTTCACAGCCATACAATAGAACAGAGCGGACTGCTGTGCAGTACATGCGACCCTTAGTAGACAATCGGATATCACAGGTGGCGCAAATTGGCAAAAGCCAACCAAGTCTTTGTATCCGTGCAGAGATTTCACCGGCCACTGAGCCATCAGGGCTGATCCTACTTCCCAGGTAAGTGAAGTGGTCGACACACTTAACCACTTCACTCTCTATCGTTAGCTGCGGTACCCCTGATGACCAGTCCTGGAGCAACAATTTGCATTTGGGTGGTGAGAAACGCATCCAAAACATTCTCGAATTGCCACTCAGTGTTCAGAAGACTCTGCATCCTCGCCTAACAGGAAAATGTCATCTGCATATTCTAGGTCAAATGAAAATTCTCCGGCAATTAGGTCAACGTCTGCGTAACCTGGTGACGAGAGGGAGATCTCCATAAGAATATCTATGATAAAATTGAATAAAAATGGAGACAATGGGCACCCTTGATGGATACCACTCGATAAGTACAGCTCATCTGACATATCACCATAGGCTCTAACACACCCACAAGTGTTCGAGAAGAAAGTTTTCAATACGGTGATGTACTTAGTCGGCGTGCAGTTCACTGAGAGACATTGCCATAAGACTTCTCGACCAATCGAATCGAATGCCGCTGCCTTCAGGTCCAGAAACACAGCTATTGTCGGGAGTCGGTTAGCGTGTCTGTGTTCCAAAACCTGGCGGAGTGTGAATATTCGGTCGATACACCCACGGCCGGGTCTAAAGCCTGCCTAGTTTTCTCGGGCTTGCTGTTTCCGAGCTCCACTCATGTGTCGAAGAATTATAGAACCTAGAAGCTTAGACACTATGTTCGTCAGGCTGATTCCTCTGTGGTTATCACAAGAGGACTTCTCGCCTTTCTTGAAGACTGGGATAATCAGTGATTCAGACCAGTCAGAGGGGATCGTATTTGGTTCCCACATACTGGTTTACACTTCCGTTAACCTGACGAAGAGCACTCCACCACCATCCTTGTATATCTTAAGAGGTAGTCCGTCTGGTCCTGCTGCCTTCCATGTTTCAGGTTACCTACCGCTTTCTCAACCTCGCATAGTGTTGGGGGGCCTATCTCAATGTTCCACTCAGGATCCGACTGGATAGCGGACAACACAATGGTGGCTGGAGGCCAGTTAAACTGCTCCTCGAAGTGTTCTGCCCATCGTTCTGGTCGTCGCCCCTGCGAGTGAATCGCAGATCCCTCTTTCTTCGCTATGGTCTGGCTAACCGCAGTAGACGTTTTCCCCAAGTTTTCATAATGAGTCAAAATAACTGTCTGCTGTTACCAGTCGCTGCCGCCTTTTCCATCTATTTAGCCTTGGCTGCCCACCATTGTTCACGTCGTTGCGCAGACTTTTTCTCAGTCTACCTTCAAGTTGTGCCCGCTCTTCATTGTACTCGGGGCCTGCAGGGATGCGTTCGCGTGCATCCATTAGTTCAGAAGCTCCTGATATCCACTGGCTCTTTTTAGCCACTCTCTCGGAGTCGGCTACAGTCTTCAGAGCTGCTTTTACAACAGACTGGAGATGGTACCATGTGATAGTACCGAGTGATAGTCTTCTGTTCCGATAACTGCCTAGCCAACTTCTCACTGAACATGGCCTTGGTGTTCTTGTTGTCCAGCAGTACTCGTGGTGGTTTTGTTGCAAATTTTTCCAACGTCCATTGAGACGCAGACATACACGCGCTCGGACCAACGCGTGGTCGCTATCCAAGTATGTACTCCAGAAGGAGCGGCAATCTTCCACCGATCCTCTCCAGTGATGACTAATACTAATGTGGTCTATCTGTGTCTATCTCTGGGTTGAGCTCGGTGGACGCCACGTCAGACAGGGTCTTTTCTTATTTCTGAAATGGGTGCTAGCTAAAAATAGGCGGTTATCTGAACATAGTTGCAATAGGCGGTCACCGTTATCTGTACGTTTAGCCGGGATTCTGTATGCCAACTAAGTGCCTTTCTGCCTCCCTCAGTCTACCCACCTGTGCATTGAAGTCACCCACAACAACCACCACGTCCGAACGTTTGGCTTTCAAGAGGAGGCTAGACAGTCTACGGTAGAGCTCGCCCTTCACTTCATCCGAACTACAGTCAGTGGGTGCGTAAGCAGAAATTACTAAGAGACAACATTGAGTCTCCCTACTCTTTTAATTCTCATTGGGCCGTTCAGCCGCATAGCGCAAAGGCGACTATCAACTGGAGTCCAGTCAAGTAGTGAGCTTTCTGCCCTAGCGCTTAGTGCTATGCCTACACCTGCAAGACCCCGAAAGCTAGCTATCGGATCTTCAGAAACTCGAAGGGTGAATTTTGCCAATTCACCAAATTGGTCGGAAGCGGTTAGGTGAATAACCACACTTGGGTCCTGTATGCGTGTCTCACAAACACAGCACACATCCATGGCCCGAACTGTTAGAGTCTTTGCCAACGAAGCCTGTTGACCAATTTGACGGAGGGTGCGGACATTGAAGGCTCCAATATGTAGTTTGGAGCGTGGTTTAAGGAGACCAAGGATGCTGTTCTGTGGACTCAGATCGTTGTCGAAGGCTGCAGAACTAGAGGATGATGTATGTAGTATTATTAATTGGGAGACGTGAAGGAAGATTAGAAGGTAATGATGGAGGAGATGGATAGCAGTTTGAGGGGACTTGAGTTGTGAGGGCGGTTGACACTTCCTGGCTGCCCACACCGTGGAAGGCTATTTCTCCTTAAGGTACCTGAAACAGATTTGAGTCACCGCAGAGCCCATCGGACATCTGCTTGAGGCCTGTCACACATAGCCTTTTTAGTGCGATTATTTTGTTTTTTTCTTATTTTGGGACCGTATGGTCGAAAAGAAACGACAAATGAACCAACACCACCGGCCCGACAGACCGTGGGGTATGATGGAGTGTTATTTTGGGGGCCGACCTTTCCTAATCCCCCCCTTCCATTGAGAAGGCACCATCAGTATAACACTGCTGGTCATCCAAGGGAAACACCTTACTGCTGTCACACACCATCCAGCTAACAGCAGTACGACTTCGCCCTCAGACCTTCATCATAGTGTAGTAATTTACACCATAACGGTAACTGCTTTTCGTCTAATCACTATCCAACAAACTTTTACGGTATGGTAGGACCTCGAGGGAACGAATGTTCCACCAGTGTAGCTCATTGTGATATGCAAGCCCGACCACCACGTCACGGTAGCAGCTATCGGTCGTTACTATTCCGTAACGTTTGACCAATCCTACTTAACTTAATGTGCTCCAGCATCTGCTCAACCAGTACCTTACCTAACGTGTAAGTACTGATAACGAAACACAAATCAAAAGAACTGGTTTCAGGAATATATTTAAAGAAGTAATATATTTATTTAGAATGAATGTAATGGTAATGAATAGGGGAAATGTTCATTCAACTTATCTGGTTAGTATGGCTGAACTAGGGACTCGGAGTACGTGCGTGCTAATCAGCATAAAGGGAGAGCAAAATGGCATCCAAGCCTGTTCAGATGCATGCTCTTTAAAACAAAACTTAAGACACCTAAAGCATGCGGAGGCGAGCTAGAGGTTTAGTTAGTTAATTTAATCTATTTATTTTAACCCTAGTTGTATTTTGGTGCCAGGAAGGTGCACTACACTACTGTATAGCTGTCACATTCATCAAGGCTGTTGTGTTAATTATCGAGTCTAATCACCTTTTGTCTAAATACCTGGTGAGTACTCATAATGAAATATCATATAACTGAGCGTTACTCAAAAACATCAAGTTATTGGTCCCTTGGACTTAAAGTGAGTGATTAAACAATGATCATTGACTCATTCTTCGTTAACTAATAAAATTATAACTTAAATTTTTGATTAGACTATATCACTGATCTTAATATACGGACGGGGCATGATGACTGAAATCGAAAGGAAATTGAAATTCAAGTAGAATTCCATGTAGCAATCGTCATATTTGGCAACAAGATGCTTTAGCGGCTGAACAGGTCTCGACTTCACATCTGTTATAGAGTGTTGCCTGGTTGTCATACGCGAACAGGTGATACAAAACTATCCACTTATCATCAAAACTACAGACAAGTTGCCTGACCGCAATTCACATCTAAATAAACTAGAAAGAAGGAGTAACTGACTGATCACTGACCAGATTATTTTACATAGCCTAGGCTGATAAACTGATATTAGTATGCTAAAATATAAAATACAGAGAACGAAATGTAAATAGTCAAAAGTTATTTTATATCTATTCAAACACTATGAAACGAAACACACTCAGCCATCTTGTACACATCCGTACGTTAGGCAATGATCCCCACTTATTACGTGAGGACTAGTGGTACTACCTGGCTGCTCAAACCTCTTATCATTTTAATAGATGGGTATGCCAAGAAGCTTCAGATATTAAATACAGACTACCATTTGAGTCAATTACAAAGTAACCAGCTTTTAATTCTTAATCTAAGTTAACATTCGGTGATATATATAACTTAGCAAATCCCTACTAGTGTCCAAGAGAAAATATTAAGCTTCGTAGTATGTAATCACATGCCAATACAACAATGACTTTTGATAACAAAATGCCAAGAGGTACAGACAATCAGAATCATTTTCGTTAATATGAATAAGACCGACATATTTTATGTGCAAATGAACCTGAAAATATTTACAGAATTATCTTAAAATTTTATTCATCAAATACAATATGCTTATGGTCACTTTTTGTGCGAGGTAAGGGGTTGACAGACACTGCTGGACATTTAGTTGTTAATTTTTGCTGTGTACGCCTTTTTGCCTGTGAAATACGATGACGCTCGGAGGCAGTAAGTCGAGACTTGACAATGTTTTCACAGTATGCTTGTTCACTATGACCTTCTAGAATACGGGATGTTACTCCCTGGATTGTTGAAGATTGAACCAACTTCACAGCAGCTTCAGCACTTTTCATTCGAATGAAAAGAGGGAAAGTATCGTTTAACGAATCTGATGTATTTACATTAGAGTTCGAGAGTATGCAAGACCCACACTTGTTAACATTATCCAGTAGGCTTTGATCAGGGTTGGGATCGACATGTGCAACAAAATTCAAGAGATTACATGGAACAAGAAGATTCTTTTCCAAGCTGATGCGTAAACATCGAGCGAACGATAATTTCTTCGGTAATAAAATTGGGTCGCAAAGATCATCACCTATAGTCTTATCTGATGTATTATTAGTAGAGATTAAAGTTGAGGGCCAGTAAATCTGAAAAATGAAGCAAAATATAACGAAATAAAGAAGTAATATTATTCAGTGACCTTTATCAAAGCAGCATAAAAACTAAAAGATAGTTTATTCTGAGTGTTGCGTCCCCTGGTTTGAATGGCTTTACCAGCACAAAAAAATGAAGCTGCAAAGTATACAAACTCAAGATTTAGGATGTTGGGTTCTATCACAATTAGGGTCAGTTATCGCACTCATGAAAAGTCGTAAGGAAAGACGAAACAGAATTCCAGACCATTTTACTTTCAATGATCCTCTAGCTAATTTCAATCTCTGATTACAACTTCCTCGAAATTAGGCCATATTCTATGCTGTGGAGTTCCAAATTCATGCTCGCACAACGGTTATGTAAAACCAATCTCATGATTTGTGATGGTGCACTGCCTAACAATAGGGATCAAACTGGTCCAAAGCATTCACCACGTCACTTACTTGAGAGGTCGGACCAGCCATGGTGGGTCAGTGACGGACGAAATCTCCGAATGGATCCAAGTGGCTCGGTCGACCTTGGTCAAACTAACCCATTTATGTCAATGGTATAATATCCGATTGCCTATTAAGGGTTGAGTGTATTACCTACCAGTCCGTTTTGTTCTCCCACGCTTCTGTGAAACAAAGCCATTGAAACTGGTCAACGAGAGGGTTCCAGGTCTTCGACCTCAATTGCCTTCACAACAAAGATCGTGTGCTGTGGTGCCACCAGATTAGTAACATAGAAGTCAGATATCGAATTTTATGTAAAAGATGCAAGCAAGTGAGGTTGTGAACCTTCATCGACTCACATAGTTGAGAGAAATACTATACGTGTCCAGCTAGCATTTACCGCGATGGGCAATGTTGTCTCAAGTAGTTTTAAACTAGAAAAGTATTAAGGATGACTAGACTGAGACGTGACATCTATTTATGAGTTCCTTGACTGTAGGTCAGAGCGACTTACAGAAATGTAGACTTACCGGTTGCGGTTCATGTGAAAACTAAAGTAAATTGAAAAAGATAGAAGATGCTGTTCAGAATCTACCTCTGTAGAGTAGATGCATCCATGCATCAATTTCATCTTAATCGTCACACCGAAATTTCTTGTTTTACCCCCCCCCTTTTCTACTCTCTGTATGAATTTTTACTACTTTTGATCGTTTTCTTCCTTATTTCTCGATTTTTCACCCTAATGTCTTTTACTTCAACTTGAACTATAATTTTAAGTCTCATGTTGATGCTGGCTGACTGACTAACCTCAAAGAAGAATTTTCAGAAGCGGTACTAGAAGCAGTCGTCTTAATGTGGGAATAAATTCAATGTTATATATTACGGAACTAAAATTTATCATGACATCCGTTTTGGCACTGTTTGCATAAAAACAGGTGTCATAGCACTGCTGTTGTCACAGAAACAACAATACAAAACCATCCAAGTTAGTCAACCAACAACAACCACATGAAACCCATTATTTACTTGAAGGTGAAAAATACTGACCAAGCTTTTGAATAAACTTATATTTAATAATTTGCAATCCTGAATCATAGTATGATTGTAAACGGTGATTACATTCAACACTAAGAATGAAAAGGGAAAATATTCAACACTAAACGTTAGGGTTAACTGTCCGATGGAAGCAGCTTCCATCTTTGATTATTATCATAGCTATTAGATAATAACTTCCAAAAATCCTAAAGACAGTAGTGTATTAAACCAACCATCCCACGAGCTTCTACATAATCAAGAACAGAGTATCCCCGTCAACATACACATAGCTAACCAATCCATAAAAGAACTGATAATGAAGTGCTGCTCACCCATGACCCCGCAAACCATCAAGCTCAGAGCCATCAGGTCTGATGACAAGAGCGTCACCATTCAACCACTGGGTTAGAAGGTAAGTCATACGATGATGTTGTGCACCCGCATCAATTAATGAAGGTAGGGAATGTTGTGCATCTTAAACCTGTTGATAAAAACATGATTATTTCTTAAAAAATCTACGAACCACCCCTGACACTGATTTTGTAATAAGAAATTCACTTATAATTGGCATTATTCAAAATGCATTGTTAGTGAGACAAAGTGACTTACTAATAATCCGACTAATTTAATCTACTCTAATGACGACTTCCATCCATGCCATAAATATAATGAAATTTAGTCAGTTTTTATGATTGCTGTAGAAAGTAATACATTTATTAGTGTTTCTTCATCTGTCTGTCATCTCAATTTCAGTAGCGAGGCATATGGACGGGGAACAAGTTTGGCATAATCGATAACAGTTCATAACAAATCAAATGCTTAATCAGATAGATACTGCTGATTGAAGTAGAACTACTTTTGAGAAAAAGTTAAAAACAACTGGAGGAAAATGTAGCACCGATTTATGAAGTTTGTCAACTGCTGGAACGAGTTACGTATGGAAATCTACAATATCTAGTTGGGGTCACTGAGATAATGGGAATCGATAGCTTAGAGTTTAAAATAGCATGATCTAAAACTAGTCAGATCTATTCACCCATAACATCCTGCAAACTCTTGGACATTTTTGTTTGCAATTTTGTTTTCTATCAGCTTATTCCTTTTTTTTGTTTGGCTTCATTATGCTTCGATTTTTAAAAAAAATTGACTTTGTAGCACTTTTGTGCAAGGTATCAGATTGCTAGTATTCATCCTCAATGATCCGTTTCATATGCACATTCTAAACACCAGGACTTTCGGCATCTAAACCTTACAGGCTTATGCTCATTTTTTTTATATTTATGCTTACGCAACAACTAACTGCAGTTCTAATGTGATGCAGAGTCATCTACACAAAATAATATATGAAGCCTGCTCATATGTGTCGCATTCATATATGGCATTCAGACAAAATAGTCTTGCCAAATAAAATAAATAAAAGGTGAATTGCTCATTCATTTTGCACTTTAACGACATAGATTAGTTGATGATCAGCAACTGGTGGTTCTCATCAGACATAGAAACTTATTATTCTCTCATGTTAAATTACTGTGAGAATAAATTATTATTATTATTATTATTATTATTATTATTATTATTATTATTATTATTATTATATCGGATACACCATTTTTGTTTTGACATATTTAAATTTTTTTTCAGCCATAACAGATAAATGACACGAAGTAAGATCAAAGTTTATTCAACTGAGACACTGGGTATACCGATGAAATGATAACTGAAAAATTAAAGACAAGGTAGAATGGATGCTGAAAAAATTCACCTTTAGGCTACAATAAGTCCTATTGTCGTTACTTGGTTACCAATGGCATCAGTCTAAATCAATTGTAGCTTTATGTATCAAAGCCAACTTACGAATGTTAGCGTTAGAAACAACTTCAGATAAGTAAGTGTAACTTAAACGAATGTATCACATGATTTTCCACAATACATAATGTTGAAGAGGTTGGGGGTATATGTAGTGAGAAAGCCATACTATGACAATAAAAGAATATCTGATAAAAAATGATCCAGGCAAACTAAGTAGCATGATGAGATAATAGTGAAATTTAAGGGTTATAAAGTATTAATATTGGGGCACTATATTAGGCAGAGACATTCAATGAAAAACCAAGCATATTGGAACTCATCAGCAATACGAAAACGCCTAATAATAATAATAATAATAATCAGATTATCTTCATTGTTATTAATAATGATAACAGTCTAGCTCAGTAACCACAAAACTTAGAAAATGAACTACACCAATTATGTGAGGATTGTCTACCCGAAACTCGATAAGTGGAATGGGTTTCGAGTCCATGATCCATTTGGTTGAAAGTTGAGTTTATAGATCGATGAACTACAGCTCTATTCCATTACTCTCTAGTGACTGATCTTTTTATATTTTCGATTGCATTAGGTGATAAAAATACTACAATTCTATCCATTAAATGTCTAATTGCTTAAAAAATAGGAAGTGATTCGAAATATAACGGGTGATAAGCTTGTCACTTTGGATGTTACAAATTCCTGTACTATGCCCTCTAAACTTCCATAGTTTACCGTAAAACTTCTCAGTACTGAACTCAATATTTCAGTCGGGCAACAAAGTAGTTAAAAATAACTGTGCGAAATATGCTAACTAACCTGTACAATAGAGTTGGGGACAAAATTGTTTGGAAGTGACTTGGGTTTGACAGATAAATTATCTGAACAATTTAATGTTGATGAATTTTCAGGCATTTCAGAATCTATTTCATAAGATTCTTTTTCTTCCATATTCGCCTCATTATTATGAGTATTCTTGTTATTATTACTATTTAATACTAGTTCAGTTTTACGACGCATTCTTGTAATCCACGCTTGTTGCCATAAATAAAACTTCTCTTTCCAGAATATCCAATCACAATAACGGAATACACGTAGTTTAGATCGACATGGTTCACAATGACCATTGTCTTTGATATAATTTGTTATAGATTCTGAAGAGCTATCACCAAGTATGATTGCATAATCTAGGCAGTGAAGAAATACATTGTGAATAATACAAAAATAGATAACTGAATGAAGTAATTTATATTTAAACAGTGAAACATAATAGACCATTTTAAAAGTGGTCAACAGAGTTGGATGGTATATGGCTATATTACTCGATTATGAACAATACATTTTGTGGCTAAATTGTTAAGGCTGATTTCCATCATGAACTACTGACACTAGATGGAAAAACATTGGAAACCTGGGAGCGATGGACAACTATTTCGTCCTAGCATCGGACTCATCAGTAGTGCATACCCATGGCCCTGTCAGGGTTCAACCCAGTAGCTCAATGGTGATGTGCTGGCCGCGAAACCTGGGGGTCCTGGGTTCGATCCCTCGAAGGGTCACGGGTGAGTACTGCTAAGGAGTTCCCTACTGGAACGAAACAACTGTCCAGTGCTCCCAGGTTTCTCCAACAGATGTCAGTCCATGATGAATACCAGCCTGAAATCAATAAAATTTCCACAAGCTTTTAAATTAGACTATTAAGTCGAAACGGCTATTGCTACAAGTAGCTTTCAATATTTTACTTAGTTTCTGACGAAATAAAACTTACAAATACTCTTTCCTCTTGTCAACTGAAATGTTTACTAAATAGCCCTTTATGATTTAGACATACTGACTTTGCATAACATCACGTGTTTAAGTTGCAGCACTTAATAACAGGATAAATAAAGAGAAACATAAAGAATACGCGCATAAGCGAGAAAAGAATAAGGAGAGTTTTAAAATATTCTGAATAAGATAGATCCCGTGTAGTCAGTTTTCAGTCCTGCTATTGAGATGGTCTTCTGCTGTTGAAAGTTTTAACATCTTGGTGAACTGGACTAAGAAGCCTATGGATTCTGTATACAACTCCGTAAGACATAGTTACTACACAAATTCCGTCTCAAATATTGATGCATAGAGTTGTGAAATAAGCTTAATATAACTATAATAGTTTTACAAAAACTGAAGAAGCCATTGAATAGAAAAGACAAAATCGAAATGTACTCAGCAGCCTTTTGCACATTCATGCAGTAGGCAACGAGCCATACCTATTGTGTGGTGGCTAGTGATACTACCAAGTTGCCTACATCATGGTAGGCGGAAAGGGATTTGAACCCATGATCAACTGGTTGAGAGTCAACTGCCTATGCTAATCAGCCACAGCTCAACAGCTAGTGAATACCAAAAAGGGTTAAGAAAGAAGAGGTGAGTACCTCACTTTCATTAACGATGTTGAGTCATTTCCACTAAAGAGATATATAACCGCCAAAAGAGTTAAATTCAACATCTTAAAACAAAAGATGAAATAGATGATATGAAAATCAATGCATCTAAATCATAATATGAAGCACCGATTCTTAAAATGAATATAAATCATTCATTTTTGAGAATGAATTTATTGACCATTCAGGAGAGTCGATATTATTATCATATCATACATTCTGAATCTCTAATTTTCCATCAGGAAACTGAGATGAAACTCGATGATAACTATGACTAACACTCTTTCATGGAATTCTAAAAAGCGTAAATAGTTCCAAATAGTTGAATATCCAGAACTAAAGCGTAGAGTGAGTCAATGAATCTGCATACTTCCGATGATTGATCACAACCAAAAGTAGATAGTTCTCGGAGACTGAACAAAAGCTATGAATTTCTAAAGGTACATTTAGTAAATCGCCAGGCGTGGACAAAGTGAATCAAAAATAAACTGGAAGATGAGTGCACTTCAGAAGGTAAATATGCGTCGAACGTATCATCTTGCGGGAAGAAAAAAAACAGCCAATCAGTAAATGATACTGCTTCAGTGTGTGAAATTTCTAATAAACAGACTAAAATGGAATTACAATCGGCCACGGTGCCCAGGTTTTACTCCTATATTAAGAGAAAACAGTTTTATATATTTAGTAGTAGCATGGTTAGCGTTCGCTGCATTTCTACTGTTTTAACTAAGGAGAACAGAAACTAATTGCTATAATTGACTTAATTGTGGTTAACAGTTGAATACAGGATGTGTTAATTATAACAATTATTATTCAGGCAATATCGATGCACCCAGACAGGAGCCCATATGGCAACAGAGGTTGATCAATCTGATCCAGTATAACAACGGAGGATTACAAGTATCAAGAAATAATAATAACTAATAACCGTTGTACAATAGGTGGTTATCGTACCTCAATGGATAGCGCTTTAGAGCTTAAAGAGATGGGGGTACTGAGTTTCAGTCTCAGTGGGAACGAAATAAATCACTGGGGTCCAGGTACGTCTACCTGACGAATCCCAAATAGGACGAAACGTGCGTCCTGAATTCCATTGCCAGCCACAACCGAGTCAATTATAACAACTAATATTCAGGCAAAATCGAAGCACCCAGATAGGAGGCCATATGCCAACAGAGGTTGATCAAGTTGATCCAGTATAACAACGGAGAAATACACGTATCAAGAAATAATAAGAACAGAAATTAATTAAAAATAATGCCAAGTCAACTATAATTGTGTACTCAACTAAATGCTTTAGGAAAAGGGAAAATTGCAAGGAAAATAAAAAGAACACTGACACTTACATTCTTTATCGCATGGATTGGAAGCAGTGTATCCAGCCTGGCGTAAATGTTTGAAAGCTGCCACAAGCTGTTTATTCTTCCGGGAACAACACCGCCAAACATATCGTCTGGCTAGCATTTGTTCAGCTGAAAAAGAAGCTTTAGCTGCCAGTCGTGGTTTCCAAGCAGATTCAGGACATTCACATATTTCTGATGTCTCTAACAGATACGAGAAATGAATAACAAAGGTAGCACCGGCTCATATATTGTTATAAGAAGAAGAGACAATAATGGATCTTGATACTATCTAAATAACATGGAATTATTGACTCTGTATACAGTAGGATCTTCTGATAACTCAGTAAAAAATATTATATATATATATATATATATATATATATATATATATATATATATATATATATATATATATATATTCTATATCATTCTACTTCCTTATAACACGAGTTATATATATCAATAACTAATACTGATAATACTATATTTTCTACCAGATAGCCTATCCAGTTTAGTTACTACGTAAGTAATCAAACTCAATGTACGTCACAAGCTTGAAACGCAGTTTTACTTAACTCCAAGGGGATAAAATTCGATGGTGGGTCAGGTGCAACCGATATCATCAGAACTACCACAATATTTTTCAACATATATTTTCGTGATCCTAACGCAACTAAACATAACTCATGAAACACGAATGAGATAACTGACACATCTAATGAGGGTCCAAACTATTTGAACATGGTCACTGTGAAATATACTACTACTGAACAACTTGAGAAGTTAAAAACCAATCAGGTTGATGTGACTTCTCAAGTAGTTCACTAGCAGTATATTTCGCTAGTTCATGTCACTTTTGTGTCAGAGATAACACTTTCTAATCTTGGCTGAGTGGTTTTCAACATAAATTCCGTTGAAAATGCAGTTGAGCAATTGAAGATTACTCAGCTGTGAGAAATGTCAAAGTCGACCGTGGAATTTGTAAATCAAATGCAAAATGGTCACTGAGAATACACGGTATTTATAAAGAATAAAATAAACAAACTGAAACTAAATAGGTAGATTGCAGGATAAAGTGGTCTTGTAGTCGTTGCTTATTGCTTGGAAATTAAGTATCCGAACCTATGAAACGTTGACAGACAATTGATTTTGTCTGTTCGCCTGAAACTCAGATTCACACGTACAACAAGACGACACTTTGAAATCAGACAAAAGAAATTAAGTGGAATACCATGTATATTTTAACTTCACAACAAGTTTACTGTATGACGAATGAACTATATGTGTACACTGCGCAAAGATACTTTTCAGAAGTGCGGCTGAAAATCTTGACACACAAAGCTAGATTAATTAAACAACATGCAGCCGAAGTTTGCTGATTTTTCTCTTGAATCATAATGGATGTATTCATGATATCATAATTATCCTCAAAATTTTCGAGATTTATCGATCTTTCTCCAGTGTTGCCAAAAGTATACAGCCCCACGTATATTCGCTACAGGCGCACACAAACAAACAGAATATTTTCCAAACACTAAATTTTACAGCTTAGTAAACGCTAAATCTCAATAGGATTTAAGTTTGTACACAGTGTTTTGTCTCAATAAATATAAACATGGAGTTTAAAATAAGAACCTGAAGAAAGAGTTCAGTTGATGAGTTATCCCTGTACGCAATTATTATATTTCACGTTTAAGAAATGCCAATGTTACTAAAGTAAATCAGTTAAAATTATATACACATCCTAATATAGAACCTAGTTAACTTGCCTATTCAGTTTAGTTGCCAAATTTCCCGTTAGAGCATTCCAATCAATACGAGGAAAGACAAAGGATTGAAAATAATAATACTGGTAGTTGTGGAAATACCATACGACAAAGAACAAAGCGGATATAAGTGATAGTTAATTATCACATTACCATTTACATGGAAATGAGCTACGGACACACTTGCATCATCACTGATAGTTTTGAGTAATACCTTATGGGGTCTTAAACCACCTTATAGGAAAACCTAGACTAGGAAGTTACACACCCGTAACGAACAGTCAGAAACTTAATGGACCGATGCTGTCACTTGGTCTCGCCATCTTTCTTATCTTCTTTCCAAAGTAATTATATCTCATCTAACGTTGCTCCTTACAGCATATGGCTGATTAGTATGCGAAATACACATCTCAGCTACCCCAAACAAAGAAGATTCCCAACGACAGGGACTGGTCTGTCTTCTCTACTTAGTACGTCATGCTTAAACACTAAATTGCTTACCGAGTAGTTTCACCACACGGACATAATGCTAGAAAGGTTATGTAGGCTAAAGCTCAGCAAATCCCCGGCATATAATAGTCATGTTTCACTGTCTCAGCATGAAAGAGAGCGATAACGTGCAGTACATTAAACTTTTAACAAGCATTCGGATATCACTCTAATGTTATAAGTGATGCAAACTAGCGAGGGGCAATGCAGTCCCTCGAGAAAAATCGAAATTCAAGTAACAAGCAGTTCAACATTTATGCAGTAGGCAATAGACTAAACCCATTTTGTGATGGTTAATGACATTACCTGGCCATATATAACTCCATATGCGGAGTGATGTGATGACCCACTGGTTTAAAGTTGGATGCCTAAAACAATCAGCAACACCCCCACAACGTAGTCTTTGGTATCTGTGCCAAGGATTTGACGTTCACCAACTAAGGTTGATATAATTTTTTAAAAGTCAGATGGTCAATGCTTTCAACTAAATCACTTTCTAATTCGGGGGTTTGTGCGGATTCAGTGATTTTTCAAGTTGGTATTCATCCTGGACTGACATCGGTTGGAGGAACATAGGACAAATACTCGACGATGACTTTGGGTGATGGTCACGCTATGTTGCGAACTGACAGAAGTTGGAAGTATGGACCATTGGATTCCTACCCAGTGGCTCAATGGTACATGCTGGCCATGGAACCTGGAGGTCCTGGGTTCGATCCCTCGAAGGCTCATGGGTATGCACTGCTGGAGTCCCGTACTAGGGCGAAACAGCTGCCCAGTGCTCCCAAGTTTCCAATGTTTCTTCAACTGATGTCAGTCCATGATGAATACTAACTTCATAAATCACTTCCTACTACCAAATGTAGCGTGGATGTAGACCAGTCTTCGAGCAATAAACTGAAGAAATATAATGCAAAAAAATGGTATGAAACTGGCATACTTAGCAATATAAACTAGTCTGTGGAGAATCTTTACTGAACAGTACTTTAATTATTTACTGCTTTCCTTTATCGAAGCACAAAAGTTAAGATGAGAAAAAAATTGGCCATGAACGAAATACTTAAATTACCTATAGGCTTCACGAACCATTGTTCATTTTCAATAATAGAAGTCATATGCTTGACAGCTTTTCTAGCAGACTTTGATGTTCTGAATTCAACAAATGCAAACCCACGAAACGAATTGGATCTGTGGTAGCTGAAATTTGAAAAGAGTGTGTACACCAATACGTAACTCAAACAGGTTGCCTCAATTTCGTGCACTAATGAATAAAAGCGACGCTGACTACAGTGAGTAGTATTAAGTATTACACCTTAGTGATATTCTAAATACCCACAAAAATATAAGATTACGCATTAACACAAAGTTATCATTTTTGACTATCTAAGATAGCCACGGTTCGATAGACTGAGTAGGATCAAGCGGTAGTAACGAGTCACGAATTCACATGGTAGTCGGGGAGAATCCTTGGTGATAGAAATGAAATACAAATTTAGTCAGCAGTTGGATTTCGCAGCTTAGTTGGTAGAGCATTGGGCCAAAAACCTGGTGGTCATTGGTTCGAGTCCGGCCACAGTCCGAATTGTCATTTCACCTTCAATTACCACCCAGTAACAACATAAAGTATCGAGGTTTAATACCAAAAGAGAATAAACCATTATTTCGAACGATTATATTGCGGCACAGGAAACTGGTTGGTAAAATGTCACAACATAGATACACAAACCTAGAAATGAAGCAAATACAGCAGAACAACAGATAACTATTCAACTCTCAACAGCAGTCTCAGTTTCGTATTTAAATAAGTGAAATAAGAATATTCACCAGTATTCGCCTAATACTACACTAAGTTGGAAGCAGTTCACAACGGTTGTCAACCAACAGAGTTGGTACATAGCTATGTTTAACTATATAAGAGAAAAACAATTATCATGAAAAAGAGACGGTGAGTGCCATGCTGTTTTCAAATGTACTATAGAGTTATGCTGTCTGGTACTTTGCTCACATAAGTCAGTCAGTTAGTCACCCTCAATATGGCATTACTGCTAAACGGTTCCGTTTGTCACACCCCACATCAGCATATCAGATTAGAGGCACCAAGTTAGAATATAGGAAAAACAAACAAGAAAGAAATCACAGTAGTAGAAAGCGGTGAAAGGAAAACAGGAAGGAATGAAACAATAATGAGATCCGGCATGATGATTACGATGAAGATATAGTATGGATGCATACGCTCTACGCAGATCCATTCTGAACTATATAATCTACACTCTACAAACACCGGTCACACTCGTCATGAGGAACCCCAACCGCGATGTCTATGCTTCCCCTACACGACTCACACCAACACAGACCTGATGGACTGATGCTATGTTTGAGTCCAGCCACCCTTAGCATTGTTTCAGTCGAAACCTACTTCGGTCAACGATGCCCAAAGCAGTAAATGCTAAAAAGGTACGCATAACATTTTCTAACTATCTAAGCCAATGAAGATTCAAAAGTCCACCAAATAGCTTGCTTGCACCTTATATATGAAATTCGATACCTAACTTATGTCACTGACCTAGTGGCATGATAACGCAGCATCTATTTCGCGAAGGCAATGGTAATCGAACACATGAAACCTTCATGTTGACCAGTTTCAATAGCCATATTTCGCAGAAGGATAGTAGAACAGAGCAAACTACTGCGTAATACGCTCAACTTTCAATAGGATTTTACACCAGTGACATGGATGGCGTAAGTTGGCGAAGGTTGATCGGTCTATTTGCATCCATTCAAAGATTCCGTCGGCCCATCAGGGCTAATCCAACTTCTTAAGGAAGTGACGTGGTCAATGCATCCAACTACTTCGCTCTCTATTGTTGGACAGGGTACCACCGAAGACCAGTTCTGGGGCAACAATTCACATATGAGCAGTAATAAACGCTTCCCAATCATTCTCGAACCACACCCAGTGTGCACCAGACTTTGCATCTTGCCAGCATCTTTATCTAACAGTATTATGTCATCCGTGCACTCTAGCTCTACTAAGGAATTTCTTGAGACTAGGTCAATTCCTACTAAGTCAGAGGAGAATGAAACCTCGATAAGCACGGATATGACAAAAGTAAATAGGAATAGAAAGTGGACATCTCTGAAGAACACCACTAAACGTTCACAAGTTACTTGATGCCTTCCCCATACGCTCCAATATGCCCATAGGTGTTCAAATATAGAGCCTAAAACACGGTGATGTACTTACACGGCCCCCCTTCGAATGAAACAGACTCCAAAATGGTCTCTCCATTGATTGGCTCAAATACCACCTTCAGGACGAGGAATACAGCTAGTGTCGGGTGCCCGTAGGTGTAGCCGTCTCCACATTTGGTAGGAGGTGCAGACTTTGTCGATATATCCCCCACAAAGTCTGAGACTTGCTTGCTGTTCCTGGATTACTGGTAGGCATCAAATAATCGAAGAACCTAGAATCTTAGATACTGTTTTCATCAAATTGATTCCACTATGGTTATCACCAGAGGATTTTTCTCGCTTCACGAGTACTGGGACAATCAGTGGTTGATGACAGCCAGAAGAGGCCATATGTGACGCAAACTAACAGTTAAGTTAATCTTAACAACACTCCTCGAACACCAACCTTAAATTCATATGGTGCTAGCCACTCTAATGCTACTGCTCTCTTTCTCTCGTTTCAGGTCACTACACTCTTTTCAACTTTGGAAACAGTTAGAGGTTATATCTCAATGTCCGAATTCGAATCAGAATAAATAGTGGGCAGCAGAATAGTACCTGGAGGCCAGCTGAACTGTTCAATATTTGAGGTCATTGAGTAGACATTTTGTCAATCTACATTTGAGTTGCTTTCGCTCCTCACCATGATCAGAACCTGCGATAATACGTTTACGTGCATCCGTTAATTTTGAAGCTGTTAGACTCAATCACTCTTACCTATTCCTGGTAGTCAGTTACGGTCGCTAACACTGTTTTGATAGCAGAATGTTGATGGCATCCAGCTTCTTCAAGATGAGTTTTGTCCTGCTCCTATATGTCTGGCACATTTCTCGCTGAAAGTAGCCTTGATACTCTCACTATTGAGCTGCGCCCAAAATGATCTTGTAACTGTGGTTTTTCTACATCTATTTAGGGGAAGACATAGAAGTACGAGAACCAACGCATGATCACTGCCCAAACACGTGCTCCAGAAGGAATGGAAATCTTTCACAGATCATCTTTAGAGATAACTGATGGTTTACGTGTCCATCCTTGAGATCAGTGGACACGACATCAGACAATGTTTATCCTTATGTCTGAAGTTTAAGATGGCTACACACAGGTAATTGTCAGAGTACAGTTGAGGCAAGCAATCACAACTGGCCGTTTGTCCGACTAGTATTCCAAAAGTGCCTTTTTGTCTGAACTAGCCTCCCCACTTGAGCATTGAAACTAACTTCAACTACAACTAAATCTGAGTGTTTGACTTTCAGTAGGAGATTAGATGCTTTTTGCGAAAACTCCCTTCTCACTTCATCCGAACTGTGGTAAGCAGATGTGCAGGCAGAGACTAAAAGGAGACAACGACGAGTTTCACTGTTATTTTGAGTCCTTACTGCAACATTCAGTTAGACAGCAGATAGGCAACTGTCAACCGTGATCTATTTAAGTATTGAACTTTTAAACTCAGCACTTAATGCTGTACCTATAGCTGAAAAACCACAAAGTCTAGCCACCGAACCTCCAGAAAACCGAAGGGTGAATGTTGGACGCAAGAGGTAAGATGAATGACCACACTTTGATCCTGTATCCATATCTTATAAACAGAGCACACATCTATGGCCCCAGATGCCAGTTTTCACTAGCGAAGTCTGTTGGCCGATTTGACAGGGCCTAAGGACACTAAAAGCTGAAAATATATCGTTTGGAGCGTGGCTTCAAGAGACAAGAGATGCTGTCCCATGAAATTGACTCATTACCAAGAGCTGCAGAGCTGGAAAGATGGCGTAGAAATATTTGCCGAGACATGTGAGGAAAAATTAAAAGCCAGAGACGTTGAAGGTTGATAATGATCTGAGGGAACTTTAGTGTTAATGGAGATGTAAGGAGGGCTGACACTTTCCAGCAGCCCACACAGTGGAAGGCTAGTTCTTCTTGAGGTGCCTGAAAAAGAAGGGTCAGTGCGTGACCACAGAGCATAAGGGACATCTGGCTGAAACCGGTCACCAAAAAATTTTCTTCAGAAGTTTGCCAGTTTAGTTTGTTTTTTGTAATTCCCTCCACGAACCCGTATCGCTGGCACCGGTAAGAGGCAGGGTACACAGGAGTGTGCTATTTTCACAGCCAACCTTTTCTAACTCTCCCCCCCCCCCCACTTACCATAGGAAAAGCACTACCAGCGTGGAACTGTTGGCCATCCAAGGGAAATACCTTAATGCTGTCACACTCCCATCTTGCCGACAGTACTACTTCGCCTTCGGTCCCCCACCATAGTATAGAGACCTACACAGTAATGGTAACTGCTTTTTGTCTGACGATTATCTAATTGACCTTTCTGGTGTGGTAGGAGCTCCAAGGAACAAACGCCCCTCCAGTATAGTTCGTTGAGTCAGTGTGATGTGCAAGCCCAACCATCATGTCAAGGTAGGAGCTATCGGTCGGTAACGCCATTTAAAACCAACCTTAGACTAGATCGAATACTTTCTTGGATGCAGAAATTTAATCACAATTCAACGTTTGACATCTGATCAATGGGATTCGTTTTTGGTGTTAACAGTTAAAAATAAATGAGTTTGCTTTTGAGATATTTTGCCTTCTCCTTTGCTAATTCATTATCTTAATATGAAAAACTAGATTTAAATCCAATATGTCTTAAGCAAAAAAATAATTTATGTGATTCTTGAAGCTTTGTACATTTTTTCGATCCAACTCAACCACAAAGCATCTTATCGCGCACGATATGTTGAGGTACGTTTTGGTGTCTTCATACAAATATGATTGGCACCTTTTTGATACGTACACTGAAATGGTAGACCGAAATTAAACTGTTGCATTTTTTTGAACATGCAGAAGAAAATACTAATGGGAAGACCTAATATCTTAATTAGCTGAGGTAACCTGTGTATAGTATATCATTAATAAAATCGGGATATTGAGGATTTATAAAAAACACTATGTTTTTTCATAAATAGCAGTAATCACCAACGACATTTGATTCCTTCTCCATTAATTATAGATATATAGATAGGTTTATTTTCAATACTATTTAACACAAAAAGTAACTCAAAAAAAAAATTTGGGGCCAGATTTCTCAGTTGCCAAAAATAATATAGGAATGGTGTCAATCAGATTTATTTTAATCATAGTGACTAATCTTATTTCATATTACACATAGTGAAACAGTATTATTTACTGGATAACATTTCAAACAGAATTTATTGTTCATGTTTCATATACTTTGATATGACTGTGAACAATAAATTCTGTGCAAAATGTCATCCAGTAAATATTACTGTTTCACTGTAGGAAATACCAAATCAAAAATCCAATACAGAAATATAAACCACCACAGTCCCCAAGCTCTACTGTAACATTAGTGACTAGTATACAGCGACACATAAAACGCACTTCAATGACAATCATGTGAAAAGGTATATTTCAGATCGACAAAAAATCAACGCAGAACCTGACACAAAAGTGCGTCAGCTCACGTTACCGCACTTCCCAGCAATATGCAAAAGAGAAATCAAGATTCTACAAGATAGTATCGAGGTAGAAGAAAGTGTACGAGACAGGAAAGAATAAGCAGATGGAGGATAGTGAAAATGTTAGAAATTTTGTAGATGATAGTGTATATAATTGTACCGGTGAAATCGATTCTGAAGCATACCACCTGCTTCAATAAGGGACGTTAGCTGATGTAGGGCTGGGATGAAAAAAAGCTAAGGATGGCTAGACTAAGACATAACACCAGTTCATGAAATACTCCATTATTATCTTTGGGTTCCTTAATCAAGATGTAAGTAAACAAACATAGAAAAAGTGAGATCTGCTAGAATTGAGCAAGTTTTAGTTGCCATTACTTCCCATTAGCCTGATGAGAGGGAAATAATGAAATGGAAATATGAAGGTAATAACGTCAAACGGCTGACAAAAAAAGATGTACAAAACAATTTGACACAGAGAATAATAAAGCATCCAGGATTTAGAGGAAAAAGTGGCGATTTGAATTACGATGACTAAGGTTGCCAATCATTTCGGCTTGAACACATCAAGAATGTCGTCCGACCAGCTCCCACACCTTTTACTGATAGCTCTGAAACCGGATTAAAGAAGCGGAAGCGTTAGCAGTGCATGAAGTGGCACCCTAGAATGATGTTCAGCTATGCTGCGCTAACATCTGTTGATGCATCATGAGAGAGAGACAATGTGACTCGTTGGTTCGAGATCTTATCAGATACGGCTCAGAAACGAAACCAGTAAAAATCATGCTGTAACCTTCTGACTTTGTTTTGTCAAAGTCAAATGAAATGCAAAGGATGCAATCTTGAGACTGCTTATTTATAGTTGTAAACATATGAACATGCTTTGAGCATCTTTAATTTTACATTGGAGGTATTCTGAAGATTTTTTATTATTTTCACTCATTGGTTTAAGTGTTCGACTTTCAAGCAAAACGCCATGGAATGACATCCCGTTCCAGTTACTTCAGTCCAAGTAAATTATTAGTATCATCAGCCGACATATAACAAGTGTGGCTAGTAGCCATATGCATCAACACATGTACTGGGTTGTTATTTTCTCACCGTCATACTACATGGTTTGTTAGTTGTACATCAACATATATCAGTTCCCAAGATAGACAGTAAACTGAAGCTCAGAATCCAAGAGAAACATACCGAGGTAAGCTGATATACAGAACTTCCCCGTAGTCTTCAAATATATTCCGAATCCACTCACTGAATTCCCAACTTAGTGAGCTCACATCTCTTTGTTCACCATCATCTGACGTTGGATTTTGTTGATAAGAACTGTCGTCATGATCGAAGATCGTGCTTATTCCAATAGGAGTCCGCGGGAGTTCAGTAACCAAGATAGTTCGTTTCTCACGAGGTCCCAACTCTGCTAATGGTAGAACTCGGACAACAGCTGTACCTAATTTGGTTAAGGTAGAAAAAAACACATTTGAAATGTATCTTAGTTCAGCCAACATTTGTGAATTATGACCACAAGTTATCATCAGCATTGCAACCTAGCAACCACGTGTACACTTGCACACTAAGTTGTAAGCCATACGTATTGTGTAGAGACTGGTAGTACTGACTGGTCGATGAAACTTGGTAGGTGGAATGGAACTTAAGCCTATTAACTACTAATTAATAGTCAGCGGCTTAAGCCAATGAGCCGTGGTTTAACAGCCTGTGACCATGCTAAACACTAATAAGTTTGTCGGTTTAACAAAGTCTAAATAACTCTATTTGATTAAAGATGTAGAAATACACCATACTTTTGTTCAGTTGAACCATCGAAACAAGATCAAAAGTACCACAGAATTCCAAAAATGTCAATCGATTTCATGATTGGTGAACTACTCACCGTCATCAGACAACTTTAGGACTTCTGATGCTTCGATAACTTCCTTGAGGACAGCCTCAGTAACATTCATCGTAATCATACGATTACATTTCAGAAGTAAGGAGATTGGAATGCCACCATCCTCTCGTTTTTCCATTTCTTGTCTGAAGAAACAATCTCGATTTAGGTTTCCTTCACTAAGGTAGAACTCAATCTGACGCAAAATCTTTGAAGTGTTTTGAACACGTGCCATAAAATCCTTTGGATGATCTACAAACTGAAAGAGAAAAAATATAGAGTCAAAATTACTTCTGCACGAAAATTCTTCAATTGTTACATTATCCCTGCACTATCTCATTTGAAAATCGCAAACAATATGTACGATAACAACCAGTAATCATTGTCTTCTTCGAATTGCAGTAGTAAGTCTCAAAAAAACCCGAATAACAATATAAGTGTAAAACTTGGGCACTGTAGTCGAGTGTAATTCCATTTTAGTCTGTTTATTAGAAATATCATACAGTGAAACAGTAAATGCTACTGTTTCAGACTAAAACCGAATATCAATACTCGTAGTCAGAAGATATACTCAGACCAGATGAATTAAATGGGACAAAAAAGCAGAATAAAAGGCGAATAAACTCCAATAAGACCAGGATGATCAGAGGTAAGAAACACTTATAGTCCAGCAGATATTGTACCTTACAGTGAATCGTCATCTCGAATGAGAAATACAGTCCTCAGCCGTGTTAGTCAATGTACCATCATACGTTCACAAAGTTATTTGGCTAAAGACAGATTTAAATGTCATCATTCAGACACAGCATAGGAGAGTTGGTGTAAAACAACTGCTCTTACCTGTCTTAATCATGATCATGAACGGATCTCGATGTGCGTATCTGGACTCCAGGGAGCACAGGAAACACCAAGCTGAAAAGTCTCTCCACACATGGTTTTAATAGGGAATACTCCGTGTGTATGCAAACAGCTTACAGGCGCATTACACGAACTGGTCAAAAGGAGCAACAGTTGGAAAATATCGTCAGTACAGACAGATCACTGATAAACTTCCACAGCAAGAGACTACATCCACGAACAGTTCATTTAGGCTAATCAATAACCACAACTAGGTTCCAAAACGAACACCATTCAATCGCAACCTGAATGAGAAACTTACGCCCATTCTCGGTCTACCAAGAAGTATTGCAGTGATGTCTGATTGTGAAGGTCTCCAGTAAATAATTATGCAAATTATGGCCCTTAAAGTTGGCTGGCCCTTCTCTTCATGCTACTTGATTGCCATGAAACGCAGACAACACTAGGTTATATGCTTTTTATCGTAGACACCGCAGCATTGCTCTCAAGCGGCAGGAAAAAAAGCGATCGATAGCTGTGTTTTAGCACTAATTTATTTAGGATTTCAAGGGTTACCACGAGTAAGAATTTTAAGTGCTATGAAACTTTTCAGATATCCAACTCCGAGATTTATCTTATCAGTGACCAATCAAGCATTAAGACGACCCATTTAACATAAAACCTGATAGCACAGCTGTGTAGAAAAGAGAGGTGGGAAGTGCTTCGAGCGTGCCTTTTCTGATTTGCAAACAATTCAAATATACTGACTCCAGGAACGAAACACATTACAAACATCCTACTACCTTCAGAAGTATAGACTAACCCGTAGAAAGCGCCACATAGGCGTGGAACTAAAGAATTCCGCAGTCCTTGATCAAATCATTCATTAACCATGAATTGCTTGAGATATTTTTAAGTCAATAAAAATTCTGTTGATAAGACTTACGCAAACACTGGGTAAAAGTGCATGGAATTATACTGAAGATGATCGTCTTGCTATTCGCCAAATTTGTATGTTTCTCAATACAACGGTCCTGAATACGAAGAAATCTGAAATGATATCGCACTAGGTAATGATGTAGTGTTAATATGCGCAATCAGTCAATTAATAGCATGGGACCTAGCATTATTGCTGAACGGTCGCCAATGTCTCACCTTATATCAGTGCATTAGGCGGAAAAGTAAACGAGAGAAAAATGGGAACGATTTAATCGAAAGTAGTAGAAAGTCATCAGAGAAGGCACGAGCGAAACAGCAGAGGATTCCAGTATGACAATAACGATGAAGATACAGTGTGACTGCATCTTTGTTACACAGGTCCATCCTGAACCACATCAACTTCACTCTACAAAAGTCGATTACACCCATCATGAAGGTCCCAGATTACGATGCCCATGCCTCCCGACACGGCTTACACCAAAACAGAACTCATCGGCTGATTCTTTAATTTGGTTCGGCTAGCTTTAGACTTTCCCCAGCCTAAACCTATTTCAGTAAAAATTTCGCGACGGGGCAGACGATGAATGGATACACTTAACACATGTCTGTGAAAGCTAAGTTGATGAAGGTTTACAACCCTACCAACTGAATTGCGTCTTCTACATTAAATTAGACGCCTGGCTTCTACGTTACTGACTAACCGGCACCATAACACACGTCTCAAGTTACGAAAGAAACGTTGGTAGAACACCTGAAAACTTCTCGTTTATTCTAGTTTTAATAGCCATTTTTCACAAAGGTACACTAGAACAGGGCAAACTGCTGCATAATACACTTAACCGTCAATAGGCAGTCAAATATTACACTGGTACTGTTAATGGCGTGAAAGTCAAGAGAGCCTTCAGTACCCATACAGAGATTTCGTCAGTCACTGATTTATCAGGGCTAATCCAACTTCCCAAATAAGTGACATGTTTAAGGCGCCCAACCACTTCATCCCCTATTGTAAGACCGGGGATCATCGCAAACCAGTCCTGGAGAAACGACTTGCAACTGGTTGGCGACAGACGCCAACTACCTCGTAAATCCTTATTGTTAAATATTTTTAAAAATCCCTATTTTGATACTGACGCTTCGTTTTATTTTTTCTTCCCTAATTTTATACTATGACGAGTATCTGAGATCACAGCTCGAAAGCTAGTTGAAGAATACCAGCTGTTATGCCTCCAAAACGTAAAATCTAATAATAACAGAAAGCATTTAAAAGCGATGTATGCTGACATATTAGCAAATAATTTACTCGCACCTGATTTGGTTATTGTATGGATAGAAGATTCCTGCAATTTTACCCTAACTGTAAATACTGAGCCAAAATTATCGACCACTTCACAACTATGTCCAGGTGAATATAATGGGACGGTACTGTTTCAAGAAACTAGTACCTCTAATAACATGGTTCCAATATGTACGGAAAATGAACAGAAACAGTGCGTTAATACAACAAGAATCAACCAGTTCAAGCTAACTTCTTTATGTATCAATGTGTACAACATATGTCGAATCGAGAGTATGATAGACAGACAGTCAAAATCAAAGTAGAACCTTTAACACAAGTGCATTGGTTCAACTTGCCACACTTCACAGTAGCGTACAAAGAACAAGTGAACAGAAAAAGACGCATATCAAAGTAGACAAACGTGTATGGCAGGAGAAAGAATTCGAGATTGAAGGTTTGTGAAAACATTTAAGTTTTAGGCGTCAAACAGCGAATACATCTGCGCTATTGAAACCGGTTTTCAGCCATGTCACCGAGTCTCCAATCACTGAATCTTATGGTCTTGAGGTAGTCCCGCATCATGTCTAGTACCTCTCGCTTAACCTCCACATTGCTCACTAAACGCGAACAACGCTACGAAGACATCCATGATGCAATATCTGCAGTCTTTTTCATATCGACTTTTGAGACCCATCTGTCGCAATCCTATAACATGGCAGGATGGACTGCAATGCAGTATACTTCTCAAGTAACAGGCAGCCGGATAGCTCTCCAGTGAGAACCAGAAATGATGCAAGTTGGCAAGTGTCAAACGGTCCTTCTGTATCCAAGCTGCGGTTTCGTCAACAACCAACCCGTTTGGGTTAATCCAACTTTCAAAGTAAGTGGAGTAGTCGACGCATTCCACTTCACCCCTCATCCTTAGACTGGGAGTAGGTGCAGATCGACCGACCGAACGCACTCAGCAACCTTGTGCACATCCGTGCAGTAGGCAATGAGCCATTCCTTTTGTATGAGGGCTAGTGTTAGTACCTAGCTGCCCAAACCTCGGTGAGTGCAGACTAGTTCCAGAGTACCATCTTACGCTTGATATGCGTAAAACGTACGCCGAATATACTCAGAGTTCTGACCAACTCTACATTTTGTCAGTGTCTTCACTTAGCAAGACAACCATATATCCACCAGGGAGTAGATTTCTGTCAATCCAGACAAACCTGGGGTTTTATCTATTAGTACACCTTTAATGAAGTTGAACAGGGTATGCAACAGCAGGCATCTCTCGTAGATATCATTAGTATTCGTCCCTTCAATTCATATAACAACTCTCCATAAGCCCATGCACAGCTGTGTGAGTTCGAGTAGACAGCTTTGATTAACGACGAATACTTGTTCGGTACTCCCCCGACAGTCAGACACTGTCACAACACCCGGGTTGATAGAGTTGAATGCCGCCTGACGATGTGATCGATGCACCCTCGTTCACGTCTGAAACCAACACGATTTTCTCAAGCATTTTGTTCCGAAGCTCCAGTTAGGCTTTGAGTAACTATGGACCCAAGGATCTTCGATATGATGTTAGTCGAATTGATTTCCCTGTTGTCACTATAAAACTTCTTTATAGACTGAAATGAACAACAAGGCAGATCAGTCTGATGGAACTACCTGATTCCCATACACTACCTAGTTTCTCCGTTTCTCAATTCAGTAATTTCCCGCTTTCATCTCCGAAACTTCGCGTGGTAAACTGTCATTTCCTGATGCTTACACCACTTCAGGTTTGAAACCTCCTTCTCAACTTCTACTTATAATTACTCAATCTCCAATATTACCTGAAAAATTCAAATATTTTGGGTTTATTTTATTTATAACAGTGATACAGCATTATTTACTTACCAAATAAGAAAATCTAATGTGGAATTACTTTCTACCACAGTGCTGACGTTTTACACATATTAATCCAAACATTTTCCTTGAAGTCTTGGAAGCATGTTTGAAGCCCTAGTGAAGTGTCAGACAATGGGGATCTTGTCACTGGTCGACTACAATTATACATACATATCTCAAGACCAAATTAGTTGTCCAAGCAATACTGCTACGAATTAACTATGATCCTAGCCACCCTTTTCTTTGTAGTTTTCTTAACTCCTACACATCAGTTACAATGCATCTTACATGATGTAACTTCTTGATTCAAGATGCGTTACAAATCTGTAAATATAAGCTAAAGGTACGTTGCTGCCGGGGAGGGCGCGTAAATAAGTGTGTTTAGTGGGGACCACGAAAATCTGAGGGGGAAAGTGGGAGAGAAAAACGTCAGTCGAGGACTCAACAAATATAGGTGTTGTACTTATATTTAATAATAAGAGATAATGGACAATGAAGTGATGATGAAGTCTAGAAATCAAAAGTAAAAAGTGAATGAGTAAGGTTGAAATGCGTTACAAGTATGTTGCGTTACGTAAGCAGTCAAAAAAGCGCCACTGCTCCACTATCCAATACCTTTTTACAAGCTGAAGTAAACCAATTGCTTTCTTCGCACTCGCATCTTGTTACTACGAAACGGTTCAAGCTGCGTGAGTGCGAACCATGCGTTGTTGTATGACTGTCCAACCTCTTCTTAAAGCTGTCAACATACGGAGTAGTAGCAATCATCGAAGGGAATGTGTTCCAGCGGCCACAAACTCGCAGACAGAAGTGTGAACGTATATAGATATTCCCCATTTAGTAAGCGATTCCTCTTGAATCTCCACGAGGATCATCACAGTAACCGTCTGGTAGGATCCACTGTCCGGATAACTTGGATTACTTAGTATTTTGTAAGCCTTTACCAGGTTGCCACGTAATCCACGGTATCCGGGAGAGTAGTGCACTAGTCCTTTCAGCCTGTCCCCATACATTTTTTGCCTCATTACTATGACACTCCCTGTTGCTCCCCTGTGGACTTTCTACAAGAGGTTCACATCTCTTTTGAGGTATGGTGGTGCAATGACGTCGTGGACCTCTAGTTGAGGTCGTATTTGGGTCTTGTGTAGCTTCGGGAAGAGTTTCGGGCTGAGGGTGCCTAGCTGTCTGCGCATGAGGTGCAGTACTGAGTAGGCTGTGGAAGCACGTCCCGGACAATCGGAGTCAATGTCTAACTTGCCCGTGAGTATTAGCCTCGGGTCATTCTCCGTGTGGTATGGCAAGGTCGTGTTCCACGGGGAGAGTAGGGTACTTTCCGGGAGTCAGAATTGCGGAGAAACATGGTTCGGCACCTGTGCAGATTAAATGGTAGTCCGTCGTTATCCGCCTACTCTGTAAGCAATCTGAGATCACACCCTTCTCTAGAATCAATCGCCTAGGGTTTGACGAGATTCAGCATTGATTCTGACCTTGACAGTTTAACTGGACTTGCTAAGCTGAAGGCACCCGATTAAGCATCTTCGCCATTTAACACGCTGTCGTGTTAGGTTGCGCTGCTCGTAATCTACCCTCTAATTAGTTAGTTGGAAGGCATCGGTATCTTGGCACGGCCTCGCAAATATACGATTCCATCCGACTAAGCTATTGTGTTCTTTCTTGGTCTCTTATTCGTGGGCATAATGCAAAATCGAATAACTGGTGATTGGCCTCTGCGTCTGTCAAGTTCGCACCAGGACAAATCGTAAATTAGTGGGCCCGACATGATATCATCCCGACCAACAAAAAACCCTAAATTGGTGAGCCTATTCTGCTTTATTCTTGTATATTATTTTCACTTCGATGACATTTATACGTCCATATAAACTCTTTCTCATGTTCGACCATACTTCCAAGCTTATCCGTATTAAGCCGACGACGTACACTACCCAGCTGGTGCCATAGTGGCCAGACAATGCAGAGGCATGGTTCCTGTATGCCAAGGCGGATTTTTGAGAATAAGGAGTCACAGATCCTCATTCTAGATTTCTTGCTGTCATACGTTCACTGCAGAGCGAATTAAACAAGCATGTTACGGAAGATATGTTTAGTTCCGAAGTAAGTGATCCATGCGCACTTCTCAAAGTCGCGCTCCTGCGGCTCATATACAGTGAGTCAACACCTAACACAACAAAGGATAATATCAGTAGTAACCCAGTAGTATCTAATTCCCCTATTACCTCGCGGAGATTAAATTTTACCCCATGTTTCTCACCACTACAGTTCCACCTAACCTGTGAGAAAATGCTTTCCGAAAACAGGTCAGGGTACTACTGCTTATCCAATTCTTTGACCTTCTGTCTGGTTAACGTTCGTTCCATAGGCAACAAAATAAGTGAGATCACTATGTTGTCGATTATGTCTAACCCCTGCTTAATATTTATCACTGAATCTTGGTGTACTCCGGGCACTCCTGATAGTGGTGTCTCTGTTGACAATTATACTCTGTTTAGGGGAGATAGATATAATGGTAGAGGTAGTGGCTGCATCATTTACATCAGGTCCGACACTGCTGCGACAAATTGTAGTACTTCAGAACTTAATTCGCTCAGTAACTGCGAAGTTTCCAAATGCCATAACTATCCTCCTAGGGTATATCTATCGTCACCCTTGCTCTACTGTAGATTGTGACGACAGACTTGCAGAAGTGTTCACATATGTGACAACGCTATCCTACTCCGTGAAACCTATATGCGGAGACTTTAACATGCCTGACATCAAGTGGCAGCCAATTACTTCTCCTAGGTGGTTTGATAATTTTATTAATGTGTTGGATTCTGGGGATGGCGCCAACATGTAATGCAACCATCTAGACATAATAACATGCCTGACCTCTTTTTCACCAATGGTTTATTGTCTCTCACTCTTCAAGTCGGTCCGGAATTCCCGGGCAGCGATCACAGAGTAGTGTCTGGTGACTCCCAACTACCTCCCAGGTCAAAAACAACCATAGTTAGACGATATAAAAACACCTTCTGGGAAGAGATACAATACATGTTGCGATGCTTGGATTGGGGTTCTTATTTCGCCAGTAGCTCAACCCATGAACTAAGTGATATCTTTTACAGTTCCATGAATGTAATTCACGATCATGTTGCTCCGGAGGTTTCAGTATTAATTAGAAAGCCAAAAGTGAATTTTGTCTCTGAAAATGTACGTACTAGCATGCGCAGACATGTCAGAAATTTCTATCGATCTAATGACTTTTCATTCCTTGTCTCATTGAAAACTGCTCATGACAACTTCAAATCAAATAAGTTACTGAAAGCAATCGAGCAAGAAACTAGCTGCAACGCACAAACAGGCAGTGTTCAGTCAATTGTGAGAATTCTAAAATCCCGTGCAAACTTATCTATAGTTATTCCCAGTAGTCTGGTCATTGATGGGGACATTCTTTACAGTGACGGAAGCAAGCTCTGTGAGCTGTTTAGTAAACATCATGCAAGCTGCTTCGGGCATGAAGATAGTGTACCAAATACACAAATACCCATTCCACCACACAAATCGCTAAGTAATGTTTCCTTTACACACAGAAAGATAGATTATGCAGTTGTTTCACCAAAGGACTCATATTCTGCCGGGCCCGATGGAATCCCGTCTGTTCTCCTTAAGAGGGGTAGCGAAGACACCATTGATCCTCATGAAGCTATTCTCAATATCCGTTACTGAGGCATGCTACCCTGACCACTGGAAGCTGTCGTACATATCTCCCATGTATAAATCCGGGCCGACGCCAGATATTCAAAATTATAGTCCAATAAATATTACATCTGCAGTCTCTCGTGTCATGGAGAGGGTAGTTGTGCAAGAAATCACTGATTACATGGCTGCGCATCAGCTACTTTCCTTTATGCAGCACGGTTTCTTAAAAGGTCGTTCATGTAGTACTTGCTTACTGGATTATTTTGAGGTCACCTACGGAAGGGATGAAGGTCTTTTCGTAACTGCTGTACCTTATGACTTCAAAAAAGTACTTGATAAAGTGCATCATAATCGGTTAATTCTTAAGCTTCAGTCATTCGGAATTGATAACTCTCTATTATCGTGGATAAGCTCATTCGTTAAGCAGCTTACTCAAATCATAAAGCTCAGTCACACCTATTCCTCCCCATAGCCCATCTTGAGTGGTGTCATTCAAGGTAGTGTGTTGAGGCTCTTACTCTTCCTCCTCTACATAAATGATATTTCTGAAGTGACAAAATATGGCAAACCCTACCTGTTTGCTAACGACTTAAAAATTGTGTATAGCTTTCCCCACCCATCACTAAGTAAGGGTTTTAATAGAATCCAGGAAGACCTGGTGAATTTATTCACTTGGAGTGAAATATAGCAACTTCCAATTAACTCTAGTAAATGCGGAATTCTCTGTTTCAATAACTCATCCAAACGTCTGTTTACACCCAGGGGATTCTGCGCTGCAATCTTATAACTCAGTATAGGACTTAGGTATTAAGTATTCTGGGAACTTAACGTTTACGGAATAGGCCCAGTCACCTGCCTCCAAGTGTGGGCGCTCAGTTGGCCCTTTGCTTAAACACGTACATACCGTGAGGCTAGACTGCTTTTATTCAAGGTAATGATCCGCCCAGTACTTGAATATGGCATAGTAATCCTCAGCAATATGCATGCCATAGATAGGAGATTAATTGAGAATGTTCAAAGAAGGTTTATCCGCTATGTGCTCGGCCGTCACGAAGGACTTGATTATGAGGGAAGGTGTAAGAAACTGAAAAATGACCCACTTTGGCTGAGACGCCCTAAGCTCAAACTGAACCTATTTTCGCGGATTTTGCCTGGCGTTATTCATGTCCGTTGCTCCCCTTCTTTTAAGCTTATGACATCATATAGTCTAAGCAGACGTGAATGCACTGTACCCGTAGAAAAGCATCGCTTTAAACCTGGGTCACGAAATTTACGCGACGGTACAGCAAGTCACGGAATAATCTTCCACATTTTATTCACTCTTGCATGTCCATATTTCATTTTCGTGGTCAACTAAATCAATTAACTATCAACACGAAAAACCATAAAATTCTTCACATTCATAATATGTTCACGAATACGAAACAAAATGGAACAATCAACATAAAAGAAAATTCAACTGGAATTCGATCATCATCAATCTCCCTGAAGGTATTAACATTTATTTGAATATTTTTACCCCCGTTATGGATGGTGTACCTTTGACCCCAGCCGGTACAATGTTATTTTGCTGTTTGACTGTCTTCTTTGACTTCGTACTCGGTGTCCGCCTTCGTATGATCGAGACTTATCATGAATGTTTCACTTTCCTATCATGTGACGCTGGACTGTTGACAATGTGACGTTGTTTTACTGCCCCCGACATTTTGTTGTGGTTCAACTTACGGTTGTACTGTGACTTGAATGTTTGTCTTTTGTCTGTCTACCGTGAACGTTCATTTGCTGATTTGATTCTGGTAGACAGAGTTTTGATCCCTTATGTCGAGAATATTCTTATTGACTGTCGGGTAATTAACAATTGTATTTGTTTAACCAGTTTCTACCGTATAGTACGTAT